ATAGATAAAAATGTTCTAAAGGACACTTCCTGTTTTAATAATTTAAATATTTACTACATGCAATGATAGAGATGTTTGTTAGAATATAAAATAAAATGTTTGCAAAAAGAGTATTCTTGTCACTTCTTTAAATTTGTACTCTGTGCTTTCTAACTAGTAAATGTCAGGTTCGTCAGAATTTTAAAATTATTAAATTTGAATTAAGATTATATATAAGGATATATAACCATTTGAAAGGAAAAAAAAACAACTATGATGGTACATATGCTCTCACAATACATTGCAACATCACGCACCCAAAAGACTACTATGAAATATTTTTTGAGATGGTAAAGACAAAATGGAAACTGACGAATACTATGGGTAGTATTGCGAAAAGAACCCTCACAAGTATATGAAATGAAAAGTGAAATAATAAAATATTTTTATTAATTATATAAGGTATAATTAGTTTATATTATTGATAGAGAATAAACATCGATAGTGCTAGAAAATCTAATTAGCTCCAAAAAATTTCTGCAACTCGGCAATAGTAAGGCTTGCTTGGTGTATATGAATATCCACTTTAGGATCCTGGTGCAAGTTATTGATGAAAATGTAGTACATATGCTTGCAAGGAGCATATGCCTTCCCATATTCCTCACGCTTCGTAAAGTCTGGACATGTGCAAGAAGGAAAGTCTTGAATAGCAATTGTGTACTTTCCACCTTCTATTTTGACTATGTACTCCTTTGCAAGCACAGTGATGTACTCTGTGGAGAGAATCTCACACTCAAGTGTTTGAGCCAAGTTTATTTTACCTTTCTTCTGCTTGGAGATGGTACCAATAAATTTAACTGCCTTATCTTTTCTCGCTGGCCTCCTATGCATCTTTGTAGGAACAGTCCTAGTTTTATCACTTATGTCTCCAACTCTCTTTTCAAGATTGAAACCAGATTTCTCAAGGTTTTCAATCTTATCCGAGGTGAGCACAACCCCATTAACAACTGGCCATTCTTTAGGTATTGCATCAGGTTTAGTCACTATAGTGTCTTCAAGCCACTTTGTATGGTTGACATCAGTGTTGCAGCAATATAACCAACACCATCTTGAAAATCCTGTTTGCTTTCGTTCCCCATGGAAACATGGGGCTAGAACAAAAGCAAATTTATCACCACAAATCCAAGCCCAACACTTGCCCCTCAGAAGCATCCCCACACACCTTACATTTGATTTTGCTGCCACTTGATGGATTGCCCATTGCTTCGGCTCCACGCTACGATAAGCAATTTCAACATGCTGTGATGCACTTTCTTCATCAGCCACTTGAGGTGGCTCAATTCGGGGGCGATGTCTTGGAGCAGAATGATACTCAACATCAGGCTTGTGAGAGCTTTTTGCTCCAAGATCCATGCCAACATCTTCAGTTGCAATGAGAAAGATGTGTCACATGTCAATGTGATAATGATTGTGACACTGACAGTGTCAGTGCAGCAGATAGTGACAGTGATAGTGTCAGTGACAAAGACAGTGTCAGTGTCAGAGATGACAAAGTTACAGTGTCAGTCTTTCAAATTTCATAATTACTAGTATTATCAGTTTATTATCTATAGGTAATACAATTTTGTTAATAAAAAAAAGGCGAGAGGGGGGGGGGGGGGGGGCGGAGATGGATAATATCATAGTGTAAGAATTATTAGTGGCTGGAATTTTCAGTAGGATGGCCTAAAAATACCATATTCAACACTTGTGGATGTAAGATTTACTAACGGAATATTGTTCCTCACCATGAAATGATAATGATTGTGTGTTCTTAACTCTTTTTTGATTTTTTTATACATCAATTTATGCACACCTTCCAAACCAATTCTTGGGCAGTTATGACAGTGTTCTAGAAAAGTTTCTAGACCCATACAGCCTTCCGTTTTATCTAAATAAAAGTAGTAGATGAGACACTGGAGATAATATGTGTTCATTCTTTCAAAAGTTTCAACCATATCGGGAGCAAGATTTTGAAGAAACATCTGGCATCGCTCTTGAAGCACATGAGGCAATCCATCTTTAGTAACAACATCTAGAACATTATTTGGAAGAGGGATCTCTTGTTCAGTCACACTTGGGGCTACAAAAGAAAAAACCTCACAACAATTGTTGTGTGGAGGGAAGGGTGGAATGTTGGTAGAAGTTGAAGATGAAGGTGGAGACTCATATGAAATGCATGGGGGCCAAGTGCGAGTAGCAATAGCATTTTCCCTAGCCATTCCTACACTCTAAACAAACTGAAATTTCAATGTTAAAAGCATCCCTTGTCAGTATTTATACTAAGAAAAGATCTAGGGGTTCTTTAAAGTTTAAATTGTCAGTCTTAAAATAGACTTCAGAATTATAACAGTGTCAGAACCACTTGTATATATAATAATATCTTTATACATGTTAGAATAATATCATTCTCGAAAATATAAAATTCTCCACTTTACTCATAAAGAATTAAACTTTTGAAAAAACTATGCATGACTTTCATATTACATTAAAGGGTGGCCTAAATATCCCATATTCAGCACTTACTGATACAGTGTTTATTCTCCATCATGAAATCATAATAGCTGTGTGTTTTTAATTCTTTCTTGATTTTCTTATACATCCACACGTGCACACCTTCCAAACCCGCTTTTGGGCATTTGCAACAATGCTCAATAAAATTTACCAAACTCATGCAACCATCTGTCTTGTTTAAATAAAAGTTGCATATAGGACACTGAAGATAATATGTATCTATATTAAGCTCCCCTACCATATCTGGAGCAAAATCTTGAAGAAAATATTGACATCGCTCTTGAAGCATTGGAGGCAATTCAACTCTTTTAACAACATCATACGGAAGGAGTTCTTGTTCAGTTGCACTAGAGGTCACAAATAGAAGAGCCTCACAACAACCCTCAAAATGAAAAGGAGGATTGTTGCATAGAGGTGAAGGTGGATTATTGATTGAGAGTGGAGATGGAGGTGGAGACTCATATGAGAGGCCTCTGGGACCAAAAGTAAACTTCTCCCTAACCATTGCAACACACAAGAAGAATTAAACTTCCCAGCAATAAGAATTCTCTGATTAATATACTATATTTCAATCTCGGGAATGATGTTTTATTATGACATGACACTATATTGAATGATAATTGTCAGTCTTAGTAATTACAACTTACTATGAGAGACAAGTGGCTATAGGGTTTTAGAAGCTAAAAACTAGCATATAATTAATATGTAGCCTTATTTTATATAGCTGGTCTGCCATATATAATAATGGCGAATACACACTACCTTTCAATCCCAAATTCATATATAGATTTAATTCTTTGATTTGTCCACATCATATATCTTTGCAAAGACAAAACATATCAAAAGGAATAAGATATATATAAAAAACTTACTTTTTTTTAATATTTTAGTGGATTACAAAAGCCATTGAAAGGTTTATAAAGTGGATTTATTAGTGCTTTCTGCTGTGTTGTCTATTTCTTCTTTTCTCTTGCTCTAGATTGTTGTTTCAGAAGTAACATAAACATTTTTATCAATAGTGACAGTGGTCTCAATATTCCCGGACAGGTAATAAGGACCAAGTGTGTAATATGGAGATTGTGGTAGTGAAACAAAATTAACATTTTCACATTTCTGTATGCTAAAACTACTTACAGATTTTTTGTCTTTCTTACTTCCCATCTCTGTAAACCCTAAAGAATGAACGAGTGAATCAGTGTTTCGAATTATTTATATATTTCTGGTCAATTGTTGAAATGTTAAAATGTTGAAATGTACAATAGAAATTTTAGGTTCATTCGAACTTCAATATTCCCATTTTATTTGGGACTAATAAAGCCCAAAAATTTCTATGGGTTCAAACGAACTTCTAATTCTAGAAATTGTATAAACTGCATTAAAAAGATTCAAAAGATAGAAATCTCTCTGAACAATTCATACTTAAATTCATAAATTTCAAGTTAACCAAAGAATACAATTTTTCTGACTTAATATTTCCTTATATAAGATTTATGGTTCAGCAATAATTGACTTCAGGAATCATATTGTTACTTTTGACTTGAGCTGAATTGAACTCAACTTGTGAGCTCAACTTAACTTTGGACCATCCCCAAGCTGATGTATTTCTAAATCCCAGCATGCTGCAAGGTGTAAAATAATCCTAATAGAAGACATCTTGGCCACAGGAGAGAATGTCTCAATGGCACGTCACAAAGTGGCATCCAATTTCGCTTGAAAATCCACTTTGTGCTGGCAATCTTCCTGCCTGGTGGGAGATGAACAAGCTCCCAGACTTCATTGCATTGCAAAGAATTATACTCATTCTGCATGGCCGCTTTCCATTTTTCTGCTTTTGGTGACTGGAGAGCTGCACGAACTGTGCATGGTTCAGGAGTGAGCTGCTCAGCAATTTGAGGCCGGAATCTGAGGCCATCATCAACGCTTCTTCTGAATGACTGGACTTGGTAGTGCCTCTGCTGCAACCTGCTGCTGCGGCTGAACTCGCGGCTGCTGCTGACTGTGCGCTTGCGGCTGCTGCCCGGATACCCTAGAAACGTCCTCCTCGTCATAAAGTGTTGCGTGTACTTTGCAAGCCGGGAGGAACGAAGCCCAGGAGATGGGAAGAATGTGAGCTCCTCGGCGTCCTAGAACATCCACAATGCTGCTGTAGTAGTCGATCCTTGACGGGTCTCACGCTATGATCTGGACGCAAACACTCGATAGAATCGCTCACTCGGCCTCCGTCCGCGCAAGTGCTTAGCACCGCCACGAACGATGCCTCGTTGGGTGTGTGGCCCTCGAGGAGCATCGCTAGCATCGCATCGATGCTCTCGGCGCCGCATATCGCGTTCATTGCCAGTAGCGCCAAGAAAGCAGGATGATTCTTCCTCCTCCTCCGCTGCACTCCACAGCACGGCAGGATTCATGTGCCAGGCTCTCGGCAGTAAGCTCTATCGGATGGGGCGGCAAGAAATCAGTGAGCGTCTTCGATGCACACACGAACCGATGGAGCGCTGCGGCGCCAACGCTATGTCCTCGAGCGGCTATGGATCCAGGGTGTCCTCGACCGGTCGGCTCACGTCGTTCGTGACAACTTTGAGGTGGGTGGCAGCTTAGAGGGGAACGGATTGGACGGTGAGGTAGGACCGATGGTATCCTCTCCCGCCATCGCCAGTGATGGAGACCATGGTCTTCCGCAACGCCCTCGTCGTGGATGGTAACAAGATGGTTGTGAGATGGTTCCAGAACGACGCTTGTTTTCTCAGCGAAAGATCATTCCTGGGAAGTGGCGGACACGACTGGATTGCCCGGACGCTGCTGCTTTGTGCACTCCAACCGGATCTATCACAAGATTTTCTTCCGCACTCTGAGCTAACATTTGGGCAGTTTCAGAGGATTGCAAGGTTATGACAGTGATTCAAGTTCCCAGCGATGGCTGCTTGGAAGGTGGTGGAGGATTTCAAGCTCAGCATGCCTTTCAGGAACGATGATCAGATCGAGGTTCTTCGAGCTTGATGTATATTATCTGGATCAGCCACTACTCGACAAGGGCGTGTTAAAGCGTCAACAACACAGTCGTACAGCATCTTGACTCATAGTCGCGTTCTCCCTCCAGGAATGCAAGAGGGAACAGAGTTCTCTGTGTGTCGGGGGGGGGGAGAGAGAGAGAGAGAGAGAGTAGAATGCTGCTGTACTGCTTCCTCGCCTTTCAAAAAATTTCCCCCCATTCATCTCTGGTGGGGTGCGACATCTTGTACGAAGCCAACGGCTTAGTTAAGGAATAACTCTTGATCCATGTCTTCCTGGTTCTTTCCTTTTGATGGATTGAATGTAGCATACCTTCATTTCTTTTGATAACAGCTTGACCACTACCCGATCAACATTATTTAGTCACCTTGAACCAGTGAAATTGACGTGTTCTCCATTGTCTCAGTAAAATGACCAAGTCAGATCTGGAGTGCTCATAACTCCTATATAAACTCCAGCGACCTCCACACTTCTCCTCACTCCATTCTTCATCAATCAAGTAGCATCACAACAAAAAATCTGTGCGAAGATACAAGATGTCTTACAAGTTAGCCATTTGTCTAGTTGCCATTTGTGCCATTGCTTTCGTCCATGGTTCAGATGAAGATGCCCTCCAGGATTTCTGTGTCCGCGACGGAAACAGCAACACCATCGTCAATGGATTCACTTGCAAGCCTGCTGCGGCAACTCTGGCCAGTGATTTCATGTTCCAGGGACTCCGGAACCCCGGGAACACCAACAACAAGCTCGGATCCATAGTCACCAATGCAAATGTTGGCGTATTCCCGGGAATCAACACTCTTGGAGTCTCTTTTGCGAGGATTGATTATGCTCCATACGGTGTCAATCCCCCTCACGTCCACCCCCGAGGAACTGAGCTCCTCTTCCTCCAGCAAGGAACTCTGTATGTTGGATTCGTGAGCACCACCAACAACACACTCTTCGCTCAAACTTTGCATCCAGGGGATCTCTTTGTATTTCCGCGTGGTCTCATTCACTTCCAGCTCAACGTTGGGAAGACACCAGCTGTTGCTCTTGCGGGATTCAACTCCCAGAATCCGGGTGTCACCCAGGTAGCCAAAGCAGTGTTTGCATCCAATCCTCCCATTTATGACGCTGTCATCGAGAGGGCGTTCCAGATCAATCCCAAGCTCATCCAGCAGCTCAGGGACCTCATCAAGCAAACTTAATCAGCTTGTTCTCGCATTAATTCTTTCATAAATTCCAATAATATTCTAATTTTGCCTGGCTTACAAAAAACAAGAAAGTTTTTATCACGCCAATATCACGAGGCTTGTTAGTTCCTTCATTTCCGATACTGGCTTGACCACGACCCGGACAAACTGAAACAATCCAAGCTAGTGAAATTAACACGTTCATCCTCGTTCAATCTTGATTCTTAGTAAAATGACCAAGCCAGATCCGGTGTGCTCTAACCATAAGTCCGGTATAGCTTCTCAACTCATGAAAGCTTCTCTAGATAAGAGCCAATCGATTCGTTCCAGCTCCGGTCAAGGACTTGCGATGTACATCGAAGCAAATGTCCTGGAGCTTGGCCATGTCTGGCTCAAACAGGCCACGTCAATGCTTCCATCCCTGGTGTAGGAAGGGAGCATGATGCTAATCCCCTCGAATGGCACGTAAGGCCCGCCAGCAAACACCGGAGTTCCATAGCCAAAGTCGAGCTCGTAGATTGGAAGCTGCGCCCAGCTCGTCACGCTCAAGTTTGGGCTCAGCACCGTCTTGCCACTCCTCGTGATCTGGACCGGGTTCTTCTGCTGGAGCTCCACGAAGTCCATCTGGGAGCGGATGTACTCATTGTCAAGCCGCTTGATGGAAGCCTGGATGAGATCCGTGGCGTGGGATGCTGGTTTCTCCAGGAGATCCTTCACGGTGCTGTGGGTGTGGGAGATGACGTTGCCAAAGTAGTCGTTGGGGATGGAGGAACGAACCTCTTTCGCCCGTTGGCCGCGATCAAAACTCAGGTTTGGACTTCACCATCGATGCCACGGGCCCGAGTGATGCACTTCCAGAGATGGCTCATGAGGCTGACAAACGTAGAGGGTCCTCGGGCACCGCCTTCTTTCGTCGCCGACTACTTGATCTTCTTGAAGAGATCGATGCTGAAGTTGTTGAAAACTAAGGAAGAAGAGAGAAAAACTTTATTGCTCAGATATCATCATCACTATACATACATAGGTGAGAGTCATGACTCTCTAGATCCACCACGTGTCACCACGTGTCTCAGCCGTATGGTGATCTTGGATGTACTACATCCTCACACCCCCACTCAGCCGAGATCAGTGTGCGAAGGCTGGATCAGAAAAAAGAAACTAATGCTAAACCACTGGGAAACCTATCTCACTCCCCCCACTCAGCCGAGAAAAGCTGAGCTCATGAAATCAGCATCTTGTGGTGTTGAACAACAGTAGCAGCACATTCCAAGGTACCCAAGCTTGCACACAGCCTAGCTTGTATCAAGACCCGTCAGGAACCAGCATTTTGTTCCATCTCCCCCACTCAAATGTGATCTCTCCATCAGCCTCAAGGCCCTTGTGCACAGCAATTCCCAGGAAGAACAGAAGCCTCTTGGCAGCATCAGCAAATCTCTAGCCCAAGGAAGCCTTCCCTTGTAGCAGCAGGGGCATCAGATTGTCTCTAGTAGTAGTAAGCAGTGTCACAACCCTTTCAATTCAAATCCAGGCCAGTCTCGATCAAGAACCGCCTCCATTTTAGGGTTGCCTGCACAAGACAAAATAAACAAGAAAACCTCCATCTTGATATTTGCTCCAGATCAGGGGGCTTATCATCTTCCTCTTCTTCCTCTTCCATTCAGCCCAGGATTTAATCCTTGACCTCTGATACCATGTTGAAAAACTAAGGAAGAAGAGAAAAACTCTATCACTCAGATATCATCGCTATACATATACAGGTGAGAGTCGTATCCACCACGTGTCACCACGTGTCTCAGCCGTACTGTGATCTCGGATGTACTACATCCTCACAGAAGTGGAGCTTCTTTACCGAGAGTGGGAGATACTTGGGCTTGCTGGATGCTCGAACTTTGGCTGCAGTGGATCGTTGCCCATGAGGAAAGACCTGTCGTGCTTTGGAGGAACGATTGGAGTCTTCTTGACAATGCTGGCCCAGGCATTCATGAAAGTGCTGGCACCTTCTCCATCCGCAACTTGGTGCTGCCTTGCCACTCCCACAACAGTGATTCCACCACAAGTGAATTTAGTTACCTGGAACAAAGAAAACTCTCAAAACATCCTTTTCGTGGAAACAAAGAAGCTTGCCAAATCAAGGAACCAAAGCAATCAATGTAGCCAACCAAGAAGAAGGAAAGAAGACATCTAGCCTCAGAGTGGTGCAAGGTTGTGAAGTGATTCAAGTTCCCAGCGATGGCTGCTTGGAAGGTGGTGGAGGATTTCAAGCTCAGCATGCCTTTCAGGAACGATGCTCAGAACCTTCCATGTCAAGGTTCTTCAAGCTTGATGTATATTATCTGGATCAGCCACTACTCTACAAGGGCGTGTTAAAGCGTTAACAACACAGTCGTACAGCATCTTGACTCATAGTCGCGTTCTCCCTTGTTCGTCCTCCTCCAAGAATGCAAGAGGGAATAGAGTTGGTAAATCTCTCTGTTTAGAGAGAGAGAGAGAGAGAGAGAGAGTAGAATGCTGCCGTACTGCTCCCTCACGTTTCAAAACATTTCCCTCCATTCATCTCTGGTGACATCTTCAACGAAGCCAACGTTTTAGTTAAGGAATAATTCTTGGTCCATGTCTTCCTGGTTCTTTCCTTTTGATGGATTGAATGTAGCATACGTTCATTTCTTTTGATATCACTACCTGATCAACCTGAATAATGATTTAGTCACCTTGAACCAGTGAAATTAACGAGTAAAATGACCAAGTCAGATCTGGAGTGCTCACAACTCCTATATAAACTCCAGCGACCTCCACACTTCTCCTCACTCCATTCTTCATCAATTAAGTAGCATCACAACAAAAAATCTGTGTGAAGATACAAGATGTCTTACAAGTTAGCCATTTGTCTAGTTGCCATTTGTGCCATTGCTTTCGTCCATGGTTCAGATGAAGATGCCCTCCAGGATTTCTGTGTCCGCGACGGAAACAGCAACACCATCGTCAATGGATTCACTTGCAAGCCTGCTGCGGCAACTCTGGCCAGTGATTTCATGTTCCAGGGACTCCGGAACCCCGGGAACACCAACAACAAGCTCGGATCCATAGTCACCAATGCAAATGTTGGCGTATTCCCGGGAATCAACACTCTTGGCGTCTCTTTTGCGAGGATTGATTATGCTCCATACGGTGTCAATCCCCCTCACGTCCACCCACGAGGAACCGAGCTCCTCTTCCTCCAGCAAGGAACTCTCTATGTTGGATTCGTGAGCACCACCAACAACACACTCTTCGCTCAAACTTTGCATCCAGGAGATCTCTTTGTGTTTCCGCGTGGTCTCATTCACTTCCAGCTCAACGTTGGGAAGACACCGGCTGTTGCTCTTGCAGGATTCAACTCCCAGAATCCCGGTGTCACTCAGGTAGCCAAAGCCGTGTTTGCATCCAATCCTCCCATTTATGACGCTGTCATCGAGAGGGCGTTCCAGATCAATCCCAAGCTCATCCAGCAGCTCAGGGACCTCATCAAGCAAACTTAATCAATTTGCTTTTGTAATGATTCTTCTGTAATTTTCAAGAATAAGATTGAATAAAGAACTGTTCTTTACAAGTCCATTGCCAAAGCAAAAATGAGATGTTAGACCTTTACTCGTAGTAGAAACACGCCCAACGTAACGAGAAGGGAAGGAAACCTGTTGAGTACAAGCACAAGGAAAAAAGCAAAGTCATACCTCTTCGTCCTTGGATGAAGGTCATGGTGATTGTTCTGCACATTTGAGACGTTCGCAGGAAGCAGCAAATAATTCGGCCTCATCAGAGTGTCAGCACACGAGAAGTCTGAAGCAGTTCATCGTCGTAATAAATGGGGCTCCTCATTCTCCGCAAACAAGTCAATGTTCTTGCCTAGACCGTAGGAAGAGATCTTGGTAACATCGAAGATGTAGTTGTTCTCGCTCTTCATTTACGTGGTCCTGCGTTGCATGTCTGTGGTTCGATCCACCAACGATAACGGCCTCCTCTTCCAGCAAGCTCTTGACAGAGTCAAGCAGTAGTTTCACTTTTTTTGGCTTCCTTGATCCTAGAGATTGGCTTCGCCTCCTTCAAAGACTTTGCATGCCATCTGAAATGATCTGGCTGTGTATCCAGTGACCTTTTGCCAAGTCCTTCGATTTGGCACAGTGACGAATCAATGGGCTGGCTGGCTGCTCTCTCGAGATCATCATCTCCGCTTACGCCAAGGCCGGGCACCTCCAAGCCGCCGAGGACGGGAATAGGTTTACCCTACTACTAGATTCCTGCCGAGGAAAAGACCTTGGATAAGAGAGCTCGACAAACTTCCGCAATAAAGAGGATTATATACAAAACAACATTATGCAAATTGCAAATACCTTAGTGACAAGCTTATCAAGAGTACTTTCACGTGATTATGATATTCCAAGTCGTCACGTCTCCAAGTTTCGCTACGCTCCCATCCCTTCAAACATAATTCTCACCTTCTCATCTCTCCATGAGCAGGGATGATCGTGTTCCATGCGACCGTGTTGGGTATGAGCTTGAAGATGCGCTTTGCCTCAGAAAATATTGCCTGATCGAGGTAAACCCATCATCCTGTTGAAGACGTCCTGGGCATCACTAGCCTTGATGTCGAACAATGGCGTGCAAGAAGCCACACTCGGGTTTTTCATCCTGTGCACCATCGCCTTGGCTGTCTCAAGATCCCACTCTCGGCGATCATGGGCCCCAGAGGTCCACAGCCGGATCCTTTGCCAGCTTAAACACCTCCTTGGCATTGTCCATAAGCACCCTCTGGGTATACATCGATGTGTGTGGAATGCAATGATTGGAGCATATGCCCAATGCTCTAGTACAGCGAGCCAAGAACGTTTTATTGTGGTCTGCAATGGTGACCAGGAATCTGGAGAGGATTTTGTTTTAAAAGTAAACATTTAATATTTATGAAAAGATAATAACTAGGGAAAATAAAAGTACTATCAACAAGTAATCACAAAAACCACCTGAGTGGCAAAAATCAAAACTAGATTGGTTCTCTTTGATGCTAACCCTTGTTGTGGACAACAGCATATGCATATGTCCAGCGTAAAGCATATGTCACCTCGAAATGCAATCGCATGGACAGCAGGATTCGGCATGACACTATATCGCCAACTGCAAGGGCCAGTCTTCTTTGGTATCCCCTATCGCTGTCAACAAGGCATTATACTCCACTTAGCATCTCAGCAAACAAGCCTCGTCCGACTTCAACCCGCTCACATTGAGCATCGACCACAGTCCAAGATTCCATCTTGTCAAAGTAGCATTTTGTGTCTAGAAGACGATTCTCAGCATTATCTTGCTGAGGGCTCTGAATTTCCCTACTCCACAGCCCCCAAGAGAGAGCATCGTCGCCCAGATCCACGCCGATGGCTGTTCTTCGCGTGTCGCCTCGCACCCATTCTGCCCTGCTCATGAAAAGCCTTGCATTGTGCTTGTTTGCATGCTCGTAAGTCCCATTCTCTTGTTTTGTTTCTCTTTAATGTTCTCCAGGCCGAATCAATGAAGCCAAGCAAAGTGTAACCAGAAGTTGACTCGGCTTTCTAATGCTTCTGGTGGGCCAGATCTTTAGCGCAACGTTCGAGTTTTCAGACGTCCATAAAACACAAAACCAATGAAGAGCCTAGCAAATGAAATAAAAGGAAGAGATAGAGATTCTTTCATGACTGCAAGCTGTATGTCGTCTATGGATGCTATGCTTTTTGGTGGAGAATGTGGCTGCTTCTATTCCAATAGCATTTGGATCTTTGCTTTTCGGGCTAGTGTTTCTTTTGCAGTGTACCCCTCTCATTTTAACCTTGAATTTCGCTTGGAAGCACAGTTCTTCAGTTATTTCATGCGGATGTACACACAAAAAAAGTAACTGAAAAATGCAAATTAGATTGCAATGTTGAGGTTGTAGTCGCTAGGAACGAGATCCCATTGAGCTGCTGGAGAAGTGTTTCTGAAGTGCCAAGGCGAGGCTCACAAGCTTTATGAACACATCACACCCACGAGCACAAACACTCCCATCTTAAACAATGGAAGTCCCACAACTTTGGTGACCTTTCACGATCAAACTTCTTGCAACTCCCTCATGACAATCCTAATAGTAATCCTTGATCTCTCTGCCGAAGTGCTCTCCCTTCTTTATAAACCTATGCGTCTGCTCTTAAAGCTTGTGCCGCCCAAGGTCAGGTGGCAAGGTGGCGCAGAGGATTTTCTGGAGGAATTTGCTATCGGGCATCTGCAGTTGTGACCCAAGAGGACCATGGAATGACAGCGTAGGTAGTATATAAGCTAGTGTTTGAGAATTCGTGAGGCAGGCTGGTGCTCATTAGGAGTTAGAATTCCCTATGTCCCAAGCTGGGATTTCTTTGAGAGTAGATATGAGAGAGTGATCATCTTGAGGCTTCCTATCATCTGTATAAGTGGCTCGAGTTGGTTGTTGAGATTAGAGAGAATTGACCTGAATTTCATGGAGATTGTCATGCAAATTTCAGACCGTTCGCAGGAAGCAGCAAATAGTTCGGCCCCAGCCTGTGCACAGCGTACAAGAAGTCTGAAGCAGTTCATCTTGCAATAACACCACCAACAGCGGTTGCTCGTTCTCTGGAAACAAGTCAACGTTCTTAGACCGCGGGAAGAGATCCTGGTATAACATCGAAGTTGTAGTTGTTCTCACTCTTCATTTCCATGGTCTTTCCCTTCTGCAATACAGTCTTGTGCATCCTGTGTTGCATGGATCCACCAACGATGACGCCTCCTCTTCCAGCAAGCTCATGACAGAAGCATTAGCCAAGTCAACTAGTGGTTTCACTTTGTTTGACTTCCTTGATCTGAGAGATTGTGTTTTTGGTCACTAAGTTCTATGTGGGCATAGTGACAAGGAAAAGCTTCGCCTCCTCCAAAGACTTGGCCTGCCCGATCGCTGCCAACAAGGCATTCCAAGTCACTATGCTCCACTCGGGCCTCAACAAACAAGTCTTGTGCAATCTCAAGCCGCTCGCATTGAGCATATGAAACGACGAGCACAGTCCACGACACAAGATTCCATGCTGGCATCTCGTCAAAGTAGCTCTTTGCCTTGTCTAGAAGACCATTCTCGGCATATCCCTGGAGCAATGCCGTCCATGAGAAGACATTCCTCTCCGGCATATTCTCGAACACGCCTCTCTGTCATTGCCCCTCGCGGCAAATGCCGAAACCATTGCAGTAGCTGCATGGACGTCAATGCTTGCTGGATACGCAAGGCTCGGAGGTGTCTTAGCCTCTTGAGAATTCTTTCGAAAGATGCCCCAGCATGACACTCTATCACAATTGCATTGCGAGGTGACATATGCTTCGAGCTACACATATACCCGCTTTGAGCATATGCTGTAAGCATTGTTGTCCACGAAACAATGTTGGGATTTGGAATCGAATCAAACAGAATCTCTGCCTCCTCTACATGGCCGTGTTGTGCGTACGCTCCAAGCATTGTATTCCACACAACAGTATCCCGATCGGGCATCTCGTCAGACATAAGCTTAGCATCTTGCAGATACCCGTTTTGGGCATATGCAGTCATCATAACTGCCCACGAGAAAACGTTCTTGGCGTCGATGGCGTCAAACACTCACTTGGCATCATTTGGGCTACCGCTACAGCGAGCGCCAGTTCCAGAACCTGCTCCTGGCTGCCTACGCCCAGCACCTGACGGTGAGCATATATGTGGCGCCCTCAGAGCGTGCTAAGATGGAATAAACGTGGTGTGTAGGAGCTGTACCGCCTGGGGGCGCCTGAGGATGGTGGTGGCGTCGGTGGGCCCGCTGGGCTGCATCCCATCAGAAGAGCAGCGTCAACCAGCTCATGCTCGGCTTCAACCTCGGCCTGCAGAACATGCTGGCGTCGCTCCACTCGCTGCTCCACTCGCCCGCTCATTAGAACGGCATTCTACACTACTAGTTTTATAAAAGACTTATTCTCTTTTGCCCTCTTGGATACAAAAAAATTGATCATAGGTCACTATACTGAAGTAAGTTTTACAAATGTATTTCAAAACTATTTGATTAATGTGCTATTGCTGCGTTGAAAGACGCAATCATCCCTGCAAGAGCAGAGCTCAAGAGAAATAGAAAGTAGATCCACTCCTACGAATTTTGCGGCGAACAGCTTGAAACTATGAGCACAAAAAGACCAGCCCCTGAGATTTTTTGGCGATTCGCACTACAACTGAACACCTGCACTGTATTGCTATGATAGTAAATTATTGTTATTCGGATGGGGCTGATATAAGAGCACCAGTGTGCCATGGTCGGGAATCTTCAAAAACACCCGGTGGTGCTGCAATCAAGCACGAGAGCTGGCTGTATGCAACCTCTATTCCACGGATGCTTGGAATCGTTGCTTTCAAGTACAATAGATAAAGACTGCTTCATGAAAGCAAACTGTATGCCTTAGACAAGCAAAAGCTATACACATTCCAGATACCAAAAGCAGATACTCTACATAGCACGGCCACGGCCTACCTCTACGAGGAAGAAAAAGGCGCGGCAGAGCTGGCTGTAAGTAACTTATATTCCAAAGACGGATGCTTGGAATCATTGCTTTCAAATACAATAGATAAAGGCTGCATCATGAAAGCAAGCTGTATGCCTTAGAAAAGCGAAAGCTATACAAATTCCAGATACCAAAAACATGTAACACATGAGAGATAGCATGAAATTGAGTGGGTTGCCACTTTTTAGTTACTTTCACTTTAATCAGTTTCTCTTTTTCTTGAGCTCTATCTATATCCAATTTTTGTGGCACTCATCAAACAATACATATTAATTGTATAAACTTGCATGATTTAAGCTGGTGCAATTACTTCTTCTTTTCTTTCCACGTAGCGCATGCGAACGTACACACCGAAAGTTACTATGGCAAACACAAAGATTGCAAACGAGCACGCTGCAAAGAAGATAATCCAAGATGGAGTCACTTGAACTGTTGAAGTTGTAGTCACCAAGAACGAGATCCCGTCGAGCTGCTGGAGTAGTGTTTTTGAGGTGGCAAGCCGGGGCTCACTTCCCACAGCATTCAAGCTGACAAACACGTTAAACATGTTCCACACGATCACACCCAAGAGCAGAAAACCCCGAATTCCCGTCTTAAACAGTGGAAGTCCTATTGTCGCTTCCACAACCCTGGTGAATTTGCCTGCGCGCTTCAAGATCAACGCCTCCACCTCTTGCAAATCCCTGTTGAACATCCCCCAGATGGTCACAAGGATGGTCACCACTGCTGTGACAATCCCAACAGTTATGTCTGATCTCTGCGACGAAGTGCTCTCCCATTCCTTCTTCACGAACCTATGCACGTCCGCCACCTTTAGAGACTCCCTCAAGCGCTTCTCCAGCTTTTGCATCTCGTTTGAGCTCTTTAGATCCTGCAAGCTTACCGTGCACAGCTTGTCCGCCAGTTTTGACTGGCCTTCGTCCATGCCACACAAGAAGTTGTCGTCCTTGTCACTTGGAACCTTGTAATTGAAGGTGTCCATGAGACCTTCCAGCGAGACCCGAGATCGGTATCTTCTCACAGCGACTCTTCTGTCAAAGGCAGGGCTCACGGCAACAATTGGACTTTTCAAGCACTTCTGCAGATCTGACACTAGTGTGTCATCGCTCGGAGCCTTCTTCTGGATCGTGTCCTCAGTGCAAGAAACAAAGTATTTGAGTATCTGGTTGGGACCAAAGATTACCATATCGAATGTTGTGCTGAAATTCACCTGGAGTAGTATCGATGTCTCCCGACTCGGGCTGTAAGAGTAGAAGATGGTTCTATTCTCTTCCAAAGGATACCTATCGTAATCCCAAAACGAATTGCCCTGGCCACACCCGGAGGCATTTAGTTTCAGAGGAAAAATATCATCCTCATTCGAAGCTGTGCCAGTGATGTTCAGACCCACAAGGCAAAGGTTACCATCGCAAGCGCACTGGAAGCTTGGAAAACCCATGTAAGAAACCACGTCCGGGGTGACGAGGATCGGGGAGGCCCTGTTGCAAACCTGGCCTTCGTAGACGTAGTTCTTGATTTCTTTGCCAGAGCTTTGGAGCTTCAATCCAGCACCGGTTCTAGCGTTGCTCACAAAGTTTGTCAAATACACCGCACTATTGTCCAGATACAAAGCGCTGCTCTCCACGGCATATGGTTCCTGTGAAGCCTTCCGATACGGAACGCCAACCAAGAGCGCTGCATATGATCCAGGAGCGGTCTGGACGATCGGGGTTGTGTAAAGACACGAATCATCCTTGGATCCTGGCAAGGTGAAACAAGTTCTTACACTCATCCCCCAGTAGACTGTCATCTTCCACACCAGAGTCCTGCTTCTCTTGACAAGCTCTCCTCCAAGAATGCGGGGATCTGGCGAGCTATACAAAGAGCTCTCATTTGTAGAGGTGATATTGCCCGAAACACGCCAGATGCTGGCCCTCTGGTATGCAAGCGTTCCCCTCTGGGAGACGTCAAGAGCATCCGGGAGTGAGGAATCAGAGACCCACTGGTAGAATGGATCGGAGCTTGTGGCAAAGACGGTGGCCTCCCAGCAAGTAGAGCACATGTCCTCCTTGACGATATCTGGGTAATAATCCCCTTGAGGTGGCTTGCTCATCTCTGGAACCGCGAAGATGGCAGTGACCACAAGTGTTGCAACAAAAGTTGCAAATGCGATGCCAATCACAAGCGCTCCAGTGAGTTTCTCCCTTGGATTTAACATCAGTTTGGCTGTGCCTTGTGACTCCGCCATAACTCCAATCTTCTGTGCTCAAACAGATTATGCTGTGGATTGGAATGAAAGCTTATATAGTAACTTTTAAATTTAATACTGTAAGTAAATGGAGAATAAAGTGATTATTCCCTTTGCATAATGGGAGTACGGGAAAGTTCTTTGTATAGCTTTATGTTGATTAATAAGATGCTTATATCATCAACAACGCCTATTAAGTCGTCCATGTCGAGAAACTTTCGTAGTCACAATGGTGTCTTTTCTTGCTCTTGCTCGATTTCTCCTTGTTCTTCTTCTTTCATCGTTTGATCTTGCCTTCTCAATCGAGCTCGCTGGTGTGCTAAATCCCGAGGACATTTCCCTCCCGCCGAGAGATCCAAGGTCCCAGTCCGTGGATTCCTACTGTCGCAGCTTCCAGTTTAGCGTGGCGTCTGGAAACCTCTTGAGCTGGAGGGTCCCTGCCGAGTGTGTTCCATACGTCCGGAGCTACACCACCGGGCCACAGTACCAAGCCGACGTCCAAGCTGCAACGAGCTTGGCACTCCAGCAAGCCCAGACTTTCTGCGCCAGGCCCGGCATTGATGCGTGGCTGTTTGATGTCGATGGTACTCTCCTCTCAACCACGCCTTACTTTGCTACAAAGCAGTTCGGGTAACGTCTGGATCTATCTCTTCCTCCCCTGTTGAAAGTTAATACTTTGCAGAGCTGGGAGCTACAACGACACTGACTTTAACTTGTGGGCCGCCAGAGGCGTCGCTCCGGCGATCGTTCCAGTGAGGACCTTCTACCGGACGCTTCTCAGGACGAACTGGACAGTGTTCCTCGTGTCCACTCGCCCAGAGTCACTGCGGCGTGCGACTGTGAGGAACTTACTCCGGGCGGGCTACAGAGGCTGGAAGAGGCTCTTCATGAGGTTTGTGAGCTTTAGATAACGTTGGCTAGCCTGTCATGACACCAGATGCTACTCTTGCTAGACGACCACTCTTCCAGACTCAAGACGAGAACCTTGTTGAAATAAAGAAAGCAAACAAACTGTCCAGGGGCTCGGCCGAGAAATCGATGAAAGATGCTGGGTATGACACCAAGGGAGCAACGAGCAACAAGCAAGACACAGGTGGTGACAAGAGCATTCCACAGTCTCAGGTGCCTGATCTCTCGGGTAACAAATAAAAGTCAAGAAAGACAATGCAAGAAACATACCTCAATAATAATGCAGATTTGGATTGTTTAATAATTGAAACTAGTACCTCTTTATTTCACCACGATCACCACGATGGACACAGATATAGTTTTATCCGTCTACATGTTGGCTTTCACGTTGAGTTTCGTTGCAATCTTCTGACCAAGCATACGATCCGCCTGCACACGTTTCATGGTTGAGTTTGATCACATGCTGTCTTTTCTTTCTTGTCTAACCTGAGACCAGTAAGAGAGCCAGATGCTACGGATTTCGTGGGTGACGCGCGGGTCGGACAGAGCATCCACAACTCTCGCAATGAAACGCTCTTGCCTGGAAGAGGAGCAGAGATTCAGTTAAAACATGACTAGCTGAGAGAGAGGTTTGAGATCTTGCCTCTCAGCAGGCCAGGAGCGGAACCTTGCTCCTGGCTGAGCAAAGTTATTTTCCTTTTCAATCATCACCTACAAGAGAAAAACATTATTGCCAAAGCATAAAATGAGAAGATAGCCAAACCTTTTCTCGTCGACCACCGAGAGGGTGAGAAGGAATAGGCACTCGCTCAGCGTGACGGCAAGGATCAAAGCGCGAAGGGAAATAGTTCACCTGCAAACACAGGATATAGAACGTATAAGCAAAAGCTTGTCATACCTCTTCGTCCCTGTGGGTGAAGTTCATGAATCCCTCGTGATGGTTGTTGTGATGAGCACACTTGGGAGCGTTCGCAGGAAGCAGCAAGTAATTCGGCCCCAGCCTGTGCCTCTGAGTGTCAGCGTACGAGAAAATTCGGGTCTGAAGCAGCTTGTCGTCCGTGTAATAAACTCCAGGCACCACCAAAGCGGGGCAGAAAGCCAGCTGCTCGTTCTCCGCAAAGAAGTTGTCGATGTTCTTGTTTAAAACTAGCCGACCCACGGGCTGCAGCGGGAAGAGATCCTCGGGCCACGTCTTGGTAACATCCAAAGGATCGAAGTCGTAGTTGTTCTCGTTCTTGATTTCCATGGTCTGGATAAACAGCTTCCACTCGGGATAGTTCCCTGCTGCAATAGAGTCTTGCAGATCCTGCGTTGCATGGCTGTGGTTCGATCCACCAACGATGACTGCCTGTTCTTCCAGCAAGCTCTTGACACCACAAGTTGGCTTCCAGTGGAACTTCACGTAGGAGCACTTGCCAGCCCGGTTCACGAGAGTGAAAGTGTGGACGCCAAAGCCCTCCATATGACGATAGTTGAGCGGGATGCCAATATCGTCGAGCAGGAACGTGAACATGTGAAGACTCTCGGGATGGTGCGAGAAGAAGTCCATGATCCTCCAATTCTCCTGGATATGAGTCCTTGGGTTGGGCTTCAGCGCATGGACCATGTCAGGGAACTTCATTCCATCTCGGACGAAGAACACGGGAAAATTGTTTCCAACCATATCAAAGTTTCCCTGCATCCACAACACCACATTCTTTGAGAAAAACGAAAGAAAGCCAAACAAAAAAACTACAAACCTCTCGAGTGTAGAACTTGACCGCAAAGCCTCGAGGATCTCGAAGAGTTTCTGGGCTGCCACGCTCGTGAATGACAGTAGAAAACCGCACGATAACGGGAGTTTGCACTCCGGGAGCTCTCAGGAAATCGGCACAAGTGAGGTGGGATACGTCGTGGGTCACCTCGAAAAATCCCTTGGCACTCGCTCCTCGTGCATGCACGACACGCTCGGGAATTCTTTCACGATCAAACTGGGCCAGCTTCTCGACCAGATGATAATCCTCGAGAAGGATAGGACCTGGCAAGAAAAAAAAAAAAAAAAACAAAGATACAATGAAGTAAGTATTTTGGGCTATGGATAGAAAGAAATTGTGTACCTCGAGAGCCCACGGTGAGCGACGCATTGTTGTTCCACACAGGAGCGCCAGTGTTCGTGGTGAAATGGGCCGAATTATAGGCGCTGGAAGGGCGATACTGGAGAAATCCAAGGAAATTTTGTCAAATCGTGAACAAATCGAGCAAGAAGATCAAGAAATGGAGGCCTAGACCACGATTGCGAAGAAACTGCTCTAGATTGATCCGGCACCGCAATGCGCAAAGAATCAATAAGCTACTCTACGCTAGCTGCTACGGCGCAAAAGGTGAGAATCAAACCTTATAGGGATCCATCGAGCGGAAGAAATCGCGCGCCAAGCTAGCACACGATTTTGGGCACGGCGCCCTCACCGCCTTGCCCTCTCGCGATATGAACCAAGGCTCGAGGGATATACCCAGGAATATTTCCAAAAAGAGTGACCGTCGATGCGCCTTAGATCCAAGGGTGGATGATTTGGAAAGATAAGCATCGTAGTAAATAGAGATTCTTGGCCGTTGGATTGCGATCGGACGGGTAGAAGTGCTCCTCAAAAGCCGTTGTGGCCACGTATGACTGGTGTACACGTGCTATGTTGTGTATGGCGAGACTGTGGCCGCCACACGAATTATTGAGATTAGAGCGAGAGAGAAATTTTTTTATTTTTCTTTCTCTTTGGGGAATGGCGCCGAAGAGTTGCTAAATCTGGCTAAATGCGAGTATTCGAAGAATAAGAATATTAAAGAATATGCTGGGGATTTAGGGCTCGAGCGAAGCTATTAGCGATGGAGGCCAAGGATCCGTTCGCGATCCTCTGCGACAAGCTCCAGGCGCCCCATCCTCTCCTCCAGCGCGTTGCGGTGAGCTCAATATTCCAGCGCTTTGCAGCGGCGCCAGATGCGGCATTGATGATGTCGCAAGCGGGATCCGGCAAGGAAGCGCTGATGCGATGTCTCGCGTCGCAGAACCCCTGCATTGTCGATCAGAGCGTCCGGGAGCTGTGTAGGATTGCGAAATCGGGCGGGATTTCGCTCGGCCAGGCGGTGATGATCTTGCAAGCGTCGCTGGATTCAGTGACGTCGTCCATCTCGCTACATGTTTTGGTTTGCGGGATTGGATTCCTTTGCCAGCTCCATGTTGCTGGCCATGACAATTCGATCACAGTTCATCCTCTTCTCAAGGTACTCAGTTTTCTTGTTTTTCCATCTCCTTCGTTGTGATAATTTATTTATCTGTTGGAAGCTAGGCTCTACAATCTCGTGAAGAAACATCCTCGTCGATCATCCAGCAAGTTCGTCTCGTTCTACTGCACGCGAGTGACCATCAACGTGCCATGCAGTTCATCCAGCCGTTTCTCACGCGTGTTTTTTTCGATCCGTCGCGAATGAGGAGCAGTTTTGCTCGAGGGCTTCACTCGAATCTCTGTGCGATTGCCATCTCCCGTCCCTGTTTGGCTCCTGGATTGATGAAGCTACTGATTCAGTATGCCCAGTCTCGTTTCCTTGAGACTCCCCAGGCAAGTATCCTTTCATTGTATTTTACAAAGTTTGTATCACTAATGTGGACGCTTCAGGATATAGAATTTCTATGCGAGGGGATTCAAGAACTCATGGATTTGCTCGAGGAAAGCTCGCATTTCTCCGAAATGGTATATGTGCGTTTCATTTCTGTGGTGACGTTACATGATGATGTTTAGGAGGATTTTACCAGTCCAATACTGGAGCTTTTGTTCGGGCTATGGCATGAGAGCAAAACACATTCCCTGCCGTCTCTGCCATTTGTCTGCCTTGTGCGAAGGATAAGTCTTCTTCCGAGCAAACCTCAGAGGCTGGATGTCTACTTGGCGTCCTTGGCTTACCTTCTGGCTATATCAGAATTAGAGCAAGAACAACTTTCGATACTTGCTCTTGCACAGACTTGGCTCGAAAAAGGTCCTCTGTTTCTATCTTTTCTAAAATAACTCTGACTGTGCGCGATACTTTCAGATTCCAACTTCACTTTACAGTCGTTGTTATTCTGGATATTTCCGACGTTGCACATATTAACCTCGCCATCTAGCCTTTTGAAACAAGCAGCTACCTCGCTGCTTAAGAAGATCGATCGTCTCTTAAGTGATGGAAGTTTGCTGAACGTAAAAGCTGGTAAGAGTGAGAGCATGCAGCTGGGAGGACTGGCCTATGAGCTGTTATGCTCCCTGTGGACAAAGGAAGCTGACGTTGAAGCGTGGTTTAAGACGCTCACGACTCATCTGAGTGATTCTGGTAAATGTGTTGTTTATAGCTTATTACTACTGACTTATTTCTTCAGATTTTCCCATGCTACTCGCCATCTTGACGACTGCCCTGACATTTCACCCTTCGTCAAAGATCTCTGGTTTTGCCATCAATATGTTGGCTTTATTAGGACAACATCACGCTGTATGGGGAATATCATTGTTTCCCGTCTTTCTGTTCTCTTTGAAGTATCACCAACGACATGACGTGAACACAAATGTGGTGGTAAGATAAACGATATCGCTTTTCAGAACTTACTGTTCACCTTTCTAGATAGCTTTTTTGAACGCTCTTCCGGATATATGTGGTCATCCAACCACCGTGCCATTGAGCATGCATTTGCTTCAGCATATGGTGGACTATAAGGGAAATTTGTGCGTAAAAATGTGTCTTCATTGCGTACGTTCTCCCTCATGCATTTCTATTTTAATACTTCTATACAAGACTACTGGCTTTATGAGTGATTTAGAATTGCCAGCATGCATTGTCATCTTTTCTTGTTTTAAAATTTTAACAAACAACTCTTTTTTTCCTTCTTTCGCAGGCGTATTCAAGCAACATCTATCCGATTGATCTATAAGATCTGGCAACATACGGATCGTGCATATTCCTTCTTACAGGTAAATTGTTCTGTAGCAAAACATCTTATGATTTAGTGTCCTTATCCGTTAGAAAACATTAGTACCGTCATGGTTTTCTCAAGCCAAAGAGGAAACAGATGTACTACTGAGCAGAGCGACATCACTGAGGGATCTGTGTGGTCATGATCCCGATGTGGGTATAGAGCTTATTTTATCAGTACAGGTAAAGAAGAGCTTGAAGTGTTCCAGTTGTTGATACCTTTCAATTAGGCTTGCGTAGAGTGCAGGTCACCTGTTGTCAAGGCGCTGGGATTGCAGAGTCTCTCGTTTCTCTGTGGCCACGATGCTATCGGTAAGCGGACAAAATCTTTTTCTGGAACTCAGTTCTTATTATTTAGATTTTTACACGGCTTGGAAGGTGATTGCGAAATTATTTTCACCTCTTCCGATAAGCCCTTCGATTTCTGAAAGGTACGTTATTTCTTCAGAGGAACTCGAGCTAAATACTAAAGTTCAAGCTGGTAGTTTTTGCATGTTGCTTAAGCATGGAGCTCTCGATGCCAATCTGAATGCTGAAGATGCCCATGCAGTATTGAATGCGCTCTGGGAATTTGCTTCATGTGACAAGCAGCCATCTGAAGAGTGGTATCGAACGAGATCAGCAGCTGTAGAATCGCTTTGTGAATACGAGGTATGCATACACGCATTTCTAAGCAAATTGAACTGTGTGAATAAGTAGGTGGAGCTACTCAAAGAGACTATGGTAAATGAAGGAAAGCATGTGGATATACTTCTACGCGGGGCCAGTACTGCCGCTAAATACCAATGCGAGAGACTTGTTGCCAAGTTTCTTGACTACGAGCATAAGTGCGTGCTTTCATTTACAATCTTTTTCGTAACGTCTATTTGCATGTAGAACGCGGCAAAGAGCTACTACTGAGAAGGTTATCATGTCGAAGCTTGAAAAGATGCTAGAAAGCATTCCTCGTACATTTACCAGCTCGACTCGTAAGACAATGGGTTGCTGTTGCGTTGTATTAAATTTTTCTTGTATGCTGCAGAAAACGACTATCCAGGCTCGCTCTTATTTTTTTGGAATGCAAGCCGAGGGAGTTTAGCAACGGCGAAGAAATCGGTAAGTATATAGCTGCTTTTTATATTTATTTGGAGCTTACAACAATCATCTGCATCTGCAGGCTTTGAGGGTCGAAGACGAAGGCCTCAAGAGCGTATTCTTCGAAGTCGCAAAAACCTTAAATGTTTCCGGAGATTTGATCATGGTGTTAATTTCGCTGTTCTCTTGGTCCTGCTTCATGCATCAGTGGCTAAAAATCGGCTGTCAACTCCATGGAAACGCTGAAGTAGCGTGTGAACATATAGTCAAGGTAAAAGAGTTTTGGCGTGCGAATTTCTGTTGTGTTTACTTATTTTGCAGCAGGCCTGTATTGATGCTTCTGAGGAAGGGATCCCACGAGTTGCTGAAAACTCAACTCTTGCTTTGGCAGCATTTTCCCGGGTACGTATGAGTGGCCATAGCCTATCTAACTTGAGGTTATGCAGTCGTTACGCCAACCTAGTTTGGCATCAAGTTCTGTTGCAAGATATCTTGAGTCAAGAATATCGTCTTTGGAGCATCAATCTGCGCAATGCTCGGCAGCCGTGTCCCTCGGAGTGCTGACAACTTCCTTGCATCCCACAGACTGGGATGTTAAAGCTAATGCAGTGCGCTTGCTGATACAGGTGAGCTACATGATTTTGGATTTCATTTCTAACTTAACTATTTATTCAGTCTGCAACCGAGGCCGACAACGCATTTGTCGTCGGGTCAGCTGCTACGGGGCTCGGAATCGCTTGCCAAAGCCTGTTCTTGTCAGAATTTTCCAGCATGGGCAGCTCGAAAGAATGCGCGTTGCTGTCCGACATTGTACACTGCGTTTTGAAGCTGCTTGCTCTCCGCTGTCCCCAGATTTTCTCGACAATGTTGGCACTATCTCAAGACAGCTTTTTTACAACAGAGGTGTTCACTCAGGAAACGAACGTGAAAGATTCAAGGAATGAGGAGGATGACCTTTGGGCTATAGTGGGTCTGGTATGGGCCTTGGGAAAGTCGGTGACGCCCCTCGGCAAAGCAGGAAAGACAACGCTGGTAAAACGTATCACTCAAGCAGTGTTCTCTTGGATACCAGACTCTATTGACGAAGTCGGAACGATGTGTCTTGCAACAGGCGCTTCTTTGGTGCTCCCGACGTGCGTGGAAGCATCGGACAGGCTTGAGCTACTAGAGTCGGCGGAGATAGAGTCACTATTGAGCCGGCTCGGTAGTTTCGTGCGGCAGATCGTCGACTTGCCTCAGTCAAGGCGGAGCTCACAGCCTTGGCTTGCGCATGTTTTCAAGGCTAGCTGCATCGGTTATGGAGGCCTTGTGGCAAAGGTTCTTCAGACAGGAGCACATCCGCTGGCTCAGGAAACAGTGAGAGACTTGCTGGAAACTCTTCACAGAGGCTACACGCAGGTGGAAGATGCGCATTACTGTCTCGGAGCAATGCTCGGGCTGGCAAACGCTCTTGGAGCTGGTGTTGCCTCAGAGTTCGAACCTCAAGGAGCCGAGCAACACGTAGTCTCTTCTTTACAAGCTGGAAACAAGGTGACAACTCCTCTTATGTTCAGCAGTGCTCACGGGGGGACGCTGAGAACAATGTTACAACAAATAGTTCGCATCTCTCATTCAAGCGAAGGTGGCCGGTTGCGAGGCTACGCAAGGTGGTGCCTTGCTATTATGCACACTGCATGGCTACGTGTGAGCCAAGGGCGGGTGTCAGCAGAAGGTAGTGAGCGGCCCACTAGAGCAATAGTTCGTTGGAGCTATCAGCCGGTTAGCTTGTCAAGTCTTCCAGCGCACAGCACCTTGCGTTTGCTGAGCGAGTGGCTGTCCAGCATTGGATTGACGAAGGTAAAGAATGCGACTTTAGCTGCTATGATGCTTATCTTCGTATGTTTTCTTTGGATCAGGTCGGTATTCCATGTGATGAGGTCATCAGTGTGATGCGATGCTTAGAAGAGGCTCCGAGACTCCCTATGCTCGACTGGGGAGGTCTGATACGTCGAATCATGCAGCACAAGGAATGGTTTCTGCAGCCATCGTCAGGTCCCGATCATGGAGACGTTAGAAAGCGGTGCTTGATCTTCTCTTTTCGTCATGCCGACAAAGTTCCTCCTCTAGCAAGTGTTCTGGACGAGGTATGTGAAGGCTCGAAGCTGGTCACTATCGAAACAAGTTTGCGGACAGTCGTGCTGAGCCGTCTCGGTGACCTCCACAAAATCTTCTCGCTAGCCCGCATGGAGAAACTTCTAGCCGACGTTATACAAGTACTTGGCAAACTCCAGACCGACGGTCGCGAATGCAGAGTCGAATGTTGGAAGGGACTTGCTAAGTTCTGGGCCACAGATACAAGAGATCTTCTCGTACACATCGAGAGCTGCATGAGACAGCTAATATCCATGTCTCCAGCACGTTTTATCGATCACAACGACACGGAAGAGACCGAAAGAGATACAATGGAGTGGTCAGTAGCTCTGGAATGCCTGAAACCCGCAAGGACGAGCTGGTTGCTAGACGTTTTCAAGGTAAGCTACATACGCTTACAGAAGTACATAATAGAAGGTTTGGCTTGCAGATCCAGGACGAAAGCTTTGGAAAGGTTGCGTTTGCAAGGTCTCGGCTGGCCGCTATGAAAGTTCTCCCACTGTCGTCACTGAAAGTCGTGCGTTCTCGACTGCTAGACAGGCAGATAACAGGTTCCTCCTCACTGGCATTTTTCCAGTCCTTTCTCTTCAGCTCGTTTCTTTTGCAGGACACTGGATGCTAATGACCGAATGTGCATTGGCTCTAAAGGACGCCCAGTTTGAAGATAAGCATGAGTGGTTACTGGATACAATAGACACAGCTTACGTATCAAAGTTTCCCTCAACGGTAAGGCATTCTCTACATGGGCAAGAACTCACTCGGGATCTGTTTGTGAAGGCCATTTCGTTCATGGCATTGCTTACGAGCATATGGAGCCCCGACTCGTACCTCTTCACTCTGAGCGAGCCACAGATAGTCCGTCAGCTTCCTCATAGCTTGCAGAAGCTTTTGGCAGAGAAGAAATGGAATCAAAGCGCGCGAGTTGTGGCAAGTAGACTCTTCTCTGTGATGGAACGAGTAGCCAAGCTGGGTGGAAGCATGGAAGAAGGAAGTGTGGGAGAGGAGTTAATTGGAGCAGTGGAAAGTGCAGCCATCTCAATTAGGGAGCATGCCACTCCTGACTTGCTTGCAAAAGTGAGAATGTCATAGATTTTGTAGTAAAAAATGTTTATTTCTTAAAAGGTTTCCTTTAAAAATTAATTGGTAAATTAAAAATATCAAGCCATTTTACTATTAATATAGCAAAAGATACTGGATATTAACTATTACTGTTATTTCAGGAATTGAACAAGGTACATTGGATGCTAACCTTTCGTTTTTGGTAATAATATCAGAGTTGAAAATCCGTGCGGACAATAATCTGCTAATGGCAGACCGATGCGACCTGTTTTGATCCATCTGAGCTGTCTTGAATTCCTCAGCATTTGCCAGAATTTTCCCAGAAAATCCCGACATCCCTGATCTCAGCGTCAGGAAATCATCCTGCTGCGGAGATTCCACCATAGAGGCAGCGCTCGCAGTGAACAAGGTACGGCCTTCTAGTCATGTGAAACTTCGTTGTTATATATGAGGATCATCTATTAGGTATTTACAGAGCTGCATTATGATACTAGTACTTTGAAATATATAGAGAAATATTGTGTGTTTTGAGAAACTGAAATGCAAACAACTTGTGCTCAGTGCGAGAGCCAGATTTCCTAACAAGCAGCAGATCCAAAAGTCCAAGGTCAGGTTTCATTTAGAGGTTTTCACTTGAGCAACTAATTATAATATTCGGGTATGAAAGGACCAGCACGACAAACTTAACTTCTGGTGCCGCTGCGATGGCACGACCGGCATCAGTGAAGACCTTCTAGCAGCCGAGCGATCCGGACGGGAAGATTGGCAAGGACACATTCACCATGGATTATAGGTACCCTCTCTCGGTGTTTCTGCCAAGCCTCCTCTCTTTTCATGAGCTTCTGCTTTTCTCAACATAAGATTGACCATCTTGCACGGATTTGAGTTGTGGTCTGATACCAACGTGGAAACTTAACCACAGCCTGCGAAAGAACAGCACGCAAGTGCTGTATGAATTTGCAAAGTAACCAAGTAGACAGTCAAATCGTGAGTTGTTAAAATCAGAGCTTGTGACAGGAAGATGTAGACTCATATATGAAGGCACAACTATCATCTCCAAAGTAGCAACTAACCTCCTATTCTACAAGGAAACATAAATTCCACAGGCAAGAAAACTTGTGTGTTCACCAGGTAGCTGGCGGCCGAGTGTCTAGCTCATTTTGGCCTTTTTTGCTGCATCATCCCTTGAGCTTTCCTCCCCAGTTAAGACCATTCGTTTCTTCACATAGTTCATATACCCTCGTTTATGATCCACCATTTCAAAAGCCCCCCAACCATCCTGCAAAATCAATATGTTAAACTATACCAGCTTTGATCGATTCATTTACCGTGTAGATCCCTCTCGACTCATCCTTATGAAGGAACCGCGGTACCACAGCTCGACACTCTTCCCCTGCATACTCAGAAATGCCTCTGTCCTCATAATTAAAATCAAAGTGCTCTTGTATCATCTGGAGGCCAGGAAAACCATTATGTAACCCATAGCGTATCTCGTCTGAAGTCTCTGACTCGAATTCGACAAGGCCACACAGCTTAACTTGAAGGCCTGCATCCTTCATTGCATGGTAAACGCTGGAATCTGAACCTTTTAGCAACGGAACAACATCATCGTAGGTCACATCCTCATACTCATCTTTCAGAACATGCTGGTGTGTGCATGGATAGTCATGGACACATGCATATACCAACTTCTCCTTGTCCTTCAAATCAGCAGCAGCCTCTTGGATCGATTTCAAGATACCCTGTGGGAAAGAGTCCACCTCTGCCTCCCAAGTTGCCTTGTAGAGCTTGTAGATGAGTGAAACTCTATAACCTGACTTCACCTCTCTCACCTCAACAGAGGCGGCATCGGTTGTAAAACCCACCCACCTGAACGTCGTACTTTCATTTGTGGCCACCGACACATGCTTCTTCCCTTGACAAGAGGTGATCACAACTTCACCTCCAGTGTATGTCCCAGGAAGTATCACCTCCAATTTCCCGACTTGTTGATTTGAACTTTCCTCATCTGGCTCCAAAACGAAGCTTTCCTTTTCTTCTTGTTCTTCCTGCTCTGCTTCGTTGCTGGTTTGGCCGGCAATATAATTCTCCCTTGTGAAGTCACCCGCCCCGTAAATCCTAACTTGTTCCAGCTTTGCCTGCAGCACTGAGTCCGGTTTCAGGATATGCCCTGCCTTTTGTACGATTCCAAAATTCTCAAGCTGGAAATTGGTGAGAACGTCTTCAGGGCTTAAGCACCAGGCTCTCCCGCCATCTAACAGACCTCATGTTGTTACTAGCTCAATAGTACAAATCAAATATACTGAAAAGAAGTACCTTTGAACTCAACTTTGGGGTAGGGCAAATCGGAAGAAATTGGCAGCTCAAGCACTCGTCCCTAACATCAGAGATAAATCCCATAAACATTTTAGCTAGGACATAATCGAATGAGGATACCTTGTAGACCAGTTTAACCGGATCAGCAGACACATTCTGCGCCTTACCTCCACACGAGAAAGGTACCAGCTTCATCCTCTTTGTTTGAACCCTAACCTCAGCACGTTTATATACACGTAACACGTGGCGTGCTCCACACGACGGCTTCGAGAAAATATCATACTCAAAGAACCCTATTCCCATGTTCTGACATTGGGTTGTTCTGGATCCATCTATGATCTGTTAGCCACAAGCTCAGAACCTGGTTTTCTGTGAGAACTTGGTCAACACTTACCGGTGATGATGATGTTCTAGCATCCGATGGAGAAGCATAGACTTTCTTTTTCCTCCTCATACATATGCTGGCAATCAGCAGACGTCCATGAAATTGTTCGAAACTCTCGCCAAATTCATTTCGATAGGCTGCAGCAATACGCTCCTTCCTGTTCTTCCTCTGATAGTTTGGCTTGTGCTATACAGCCTTGGAAACAGTTGTAAGTATTAACTTCAGAGTCTCTTACCGAGCTTCTCAATGTCACAAACGTTTGGAATTGGAAGGTTATAGCTGTCAGGAAGCAGCAAATGGAGCCATTCTGTTGCTTTGGCTGATTGATTTCCAGCTTCCACTTCTGTATCTGGGACTCCGATTGAAAGTTCAGCTAGACGTCTCTTAGTCTCAGCACTGAGAAAATAAAAGTTGTTTTGGAGACCATAAACTGTTATCTGCACAACATTCTCGCCATCCTGCCAATAATAAGGCAGCTCTTCCTTCTTCCAAACTTAGGCTGTTCATGGTTTTCGGACATTGGTGAGAATCGTCACTACTTTGTTTAGGATGCCTGTGACTTTAATAAGCTTCGGCCTTAACGCGGCTTAACGCGGTGGTAGAAGCTTTCTTGAGCCACCCACCCTGTTTACTGTTCTTGACCGAAAACTAGCAGCAATTTCGTAACTTGGGACGGTGTTGTCAACTTTGCACATTATAGTGCAGCCTCTCATGAATGCAGATGCCAAAATTTGGGGTGTCAACTCTCTCTGCTTCACCAGCATAAAGCTGTGCTAGCGAATTCAAACCTTGTCAACCGGTGGCTCCCTGGAAAGATGCGTCAAGAGTGTACAAAAAGGAAAAGGGGGAAAAGTCCCCATTTCTACCCTCCTTATATACTGTGTTGGGAGCACAGCATTTCGTGACTATCCTGGGAAACGTGATTCACAGGAATGTCCACTGTGATTGAGATAAGTTTCTTTCGTTTAAGCATGGTTATTCATTCAGTGTCCTGACACAGAGTTTCTTTGATCAAATCGCTACGCATTCTTCAATTGCATTATGGTGTTTTCAGCATGACATACCGAATTGAAACCAAAAGGAACTAACTTGGAGAAAATACCTCTCGCACACTCCACACGTCTGGATCGTTGTCGAGGCGGCTACTCCATAAGGAACAACGCAGCTGGAGAGAGATCCGTAGTCCGAGGAACAAGGTCCATGTTCACCACCTGGTGTATGGGTCTTTGCAACATTGATCCCAAGATGCTGGCCTTAGCAGCTGTTTACGCGTTGAATTTGCTTTACTTTTGAACTGTGTCAAAGAAAGTCAATAATAAGTCAACATAGTCAATGGAACAAGAATGTAATCTCTTCACTGAAACAAAGTGTGAGACACAAAAGAGAGGTCTCATTGTGAAGAAAGATGGCCATGCCAAGAAGCTTTGGATGGGAATTGGGGCATTTTATTTCAAGAAGAAAGAGAGGAGAAAGAGAGGAGATCTAGTGTCTGCTGGGCTGCTGGATCGCACTCCACTGGCTGTAGAAATCCAGCGCCTCCGCCGTGACAAAAGCCACGGCGCCCACAAACGGCACCAGATGCATGACTGTGCGTATGTTGCTCGTCTCCATAAACGTCACCAGATTAAACTCCCCAGACTTACTCTTGCTCAGCTTCACCTCCTCCGTCACCGTCGCCATGCCCCGCGCCAAAATCCTTCTCGCGGCCGCTGATCCAGCGCCCGGCGCCATCGCTCGCGCGCAAGAACCCTAAAATTGGAGCCCTAAAACTCGACCCCAAGAACCCTAAAAGACCAAAACTTAATTTTTCTTTTGCCCATTTTGGAGCTACCTAGGGTTTATCGGACACTGTTTGATCGGATGAACCAGCGACGCTTGCTCGCTGCGCGCCGATGATCCCAATCCGGCCGCTCTACAGCGCAGCGAATCTAGCAGCCGGCGGATGCGAATCGATCCATCGCAGGGCCACATTTCTTCTCCAAGGTAAATCTCTCGATTCTCCTCTTGCCGCATTGCTCCAATCCGTGGCCTGGGGTCACAAAATTCCTCTCTTTTTCCTCTCCCCGCTGATTCCTCGTCTCCGCTAGCCCCGATTTGCAGGCTCCGGGATGTATTTTCCAAGATCCAGGCCCAATCTCATCGAGAGGAAGACCAACACCTACACCGAATCCACTGGTAGCACCGCCGCGGAGGATCTCCCATCGCCGGATGCCAATGCCTTCATCGACACCAGTGGATTGAGCTCGGTGGAGAGCAAGGCCGCGTTCTTCGACGTAGATGGCACGGTTTGCAAGACGAATGTGGTGTTGGCGTATTTTAGCGCCCGTGTGGAGGAGCTGGCCGTGTGGGTGAGGCTTGTTTGGGTGCCTTACTTCATTCTTACCTGCGTTCTCTACCTCATCGTCGACTGGTTCCACAGGCCCACGTTTAACCGGATCTTCTACATGAGTTACAGGGGCAGGACTGTGGAATCCAAGGCCGCGCTCGCCAAGATCATCTACACCAAGTACTACAAGCCCAGGTAAGAGTGGAAAGTTCTTTGGTCTGATCACGAAAGTTGGAAGTTCACGAGAAGTTTGTTTCCTTTGGTTTGCAGGATTTTCAAGGACGCGGCCGCGATCATCAAGAGGTTGAAGGCCGAGGGATTTAAGATCGTTCTCGTGACTGGCTCGTTGGATTTTTTGGTGGCTCCTCTAGCGGAAGATCTCGACGCAGGTATGGATGGTTTGAGTTGCTTGGCTCCCTCTAATCACAGATCTTTGTTCTTTTTTTTCTTCCAGACCATGTTTACGCAGCGGAGATAATCGAAGAGAATGGCAGGTTGGTTACTTTTTTTTTTTTTCCTGCGATCAAGCAAAGCTTCTAAAATTGTGATTGACAGGCTGACCGGGAAGCTAAAGGGAATGTACGCAAGCAATGACGAGAAAGCTCTCAGAGTCCAAGACTTCGCGCGGGAGCACGGGATGTCACTGAGCAATTGCCTCGGCTTTGGCGACAGCATAGCCGATCTCCCCATGCTAGAAATCGTGAGATGAAAAAACACACACTCTCGCTTCCTACTTACGCACCGCTTTTTCTCGCAGGTCGGAAGAGCTTACGTCGTCAATCCCGACGCTCGTCTCAGAGCGATCGCGCTGAGACGAGGCTGGCCCGTGATGCAGTGGATGTTGGCTCCAGCAAAGTTGTAGCAGAGGAAACAAAAGGCGCCTAGAAACACCGTTATTTCATGACAAAAGTGAGAGACAACAGAGTTTCTCAAAGACAAGAATAAAGTTCCTGGAAGGTCCAAAAGATATCCTCCCTCGCAAAGAGAAAAAGGAGACAGGTACCTCACACACACCAGCGTACGCAAGAGTTTTATGACAGTGTTCCTAGAAAAAGAGACGGCCAGGTCCTTTCCTTCCTCAGAGCTACTGCTTCCTTGTTTCATTTTTTTGGGTGTTTTTTTCAGCACAATCTGTAAGACAACTCCAGTCAGTGACAATGAACAAAGAAAGGCATTTGGAAGAGAAGCATTCAGGTTATAGAACCGGAAAGAAAGGAGTAACTTCGAGAAATCGAGCTAGAAAAGTCGAGCTTTAAAAAAGATGGCGATGGCAAAGGAAACCCGGGCGGCGATTGAGAAGAAAAAGGCGAACAGTCGTGAAGAGAAAACTCCACGAGATGAAGATGGCGATGGAGATAAAGAAAAGAAAAGAACTATCAACTAGGAAGCTCGAGCTCTATTGACGAAGATGGCGATTGAGTAGACGAATGAGAAGCAAAGCAAGCAAAGAACCAAGGGCCGGAGGAACTCGTGAAGAGAGAACTCTGCAAAGAGAAGAGAAGAGAACTCACCAGGGCGAACTGGATGAATCGAGGAGGAGCTGGAAGATCAATGGCCGCCTTCGCTGCCACCGCCACCGCCCTCCCGGAGCTTGCGAAGGCGCTCCTCCTCTTCATGCTGGTAGTGGCGAATCTCAGTGGGATAGGCAACAATGTAGGCAAAGATGGTGCCGCCGATGAGGAAGTGATAGACGGGCGTGAAGCTGCTCGTCTGGATGTACTTGTCGTAGTACTCGTCCATGAGCGTGCGCGACGCCTTTTTGATGTTGGCGGGCGTCACATTCTCCTTGACATAGCCGGGCACGTCCTTTACCTTCATCGAGGACATCTGGCGCAGCCATTGCCGCGCCGCCATGCCGCCACGCGCGAGGACGCTGCTGCTGCTGCTCAGGCGGCGAGCGAGCGAGGAGGAGGCCGCCGTCGTCGCCGTCGTGGCGGATTGGATGGCTTCTTGGAGCTTGGGGGTTCCTGCCTGGGAGAGATCGATCGATCGAAGCCCCGCGACCTATAATCCCTATCCCCTGGAGCCCTAATGGTATTTGCATGGGATATTCGTTCCTGGTATATGCTGGGCTCGATTCCCCTCGAAAATCAATTTTAAAAAGGCAAAAAGGTTCAAAAGTACCGTGTTTTACGTTACCAGCAAAGTAAATACTAATGATATAATCATAGTTCTACAATGTGATAAAGGATCGTAGCAACCGCACGTTTTGAAAATAATTAAAATGTAAAATTAGCTAGTTAGTTTTAAAAAGTAGAAGTTACAAAAAAACAGAATAACGCAATGAATAGGCACTTTTTAGATATAAAAAGAAGAGAAAAGAGGCATGCGTTAGCCGGGAGTCGAACCCGGGTCTATTGCTTGGAAGGCAATTATCCTGACCGTTGGACTACTAACGCAACGCTGTCTAACACAAACCACACGCTCTTCTCTCCATTTCGTTTTTAGTTCCGCCACCAAACGTTGATTCGATCGCCATGGATTTGTCGCTGTCGCCTTTATCAGGCACCACCAAACAAGCCTTGATCAGCTTCCCGGTAAAGAAAAGCAATGCGCTCTCCTCCCAAATATTCTTCTTCTTCTTCTATACCTTGTCCACAACTTTGCTCGATAATTCCTTCACTACTTTGCTTGATCGTTGCGAGCATCGCCATCATCGCCACTGCCACAGCAAAAGCACCATCAATCTGCTCGCAAAGATGTGGAGAAATCCTCGTACCTTCGCCGCTCAGCTCGCTTCCTGGATGCGGTCACCCCCAGCTCCAACTCGAGTGTAGCACCTCCAAGCAGCACCACCAAGAGCACTTCGCTCTCCTCCTCCGCACCGACACCGAGAGCTTCCGTGTCCTCCAGGTCACTGCCACGACTCTGGTGATCGACGCGACCAGCCTCAAGGCCACGTCTTGCAACGGGAGCGAGGCCACCGCGAGCTTGGGCTTGAAGCCAACGTCTCCATACTTCCTCTCCGGGAACAACGAGTTCTTCCTCACCGGTTGCAATGCCGGGGGCAACTACTCCACGGATCTCTACCCGACTGCGTCCAGGTGCCAGACCGGTTGTCCCAACTCCCGCAATCGCACCGCTAGCGCCCGCAATCCGTTTTGCACGCTTGAAGACTGCTGCGTCACCACGATTCCGGCTGGAGCTCGGAGTGTTGTTTTGACGAGCTGTGCTCCAAGGTCTTGCGGCTTCTCCAGCGTGATCTTCCCAAAGAGCTACGTGCCTAGTGACTCGAGCTATGGCGTTGAGTTGATCTGGGAGGTACCTGGGAGCACCTGCGCTTCAGTCGATGACATAAATCTCTGTTCTACAAACGCTAACTGCGTAAACGCGAGCAACGTACCGGGTTACAACTGCTTGTGCAAGGATGGATTTGCTGGTGACGGATACCGCAATGGAAGTGGCTGTTTGCGTAAGTCTATCCAGATTTGACGAGGAAGCATACTCTTCTCTTTGTTGTTTTCCTTGGTTTTAGCTGTTGATCACTGTAGCCCCGGATCGTGTGCACCAAAAGCTCGCTGTATCAACGAAGGAACATCATTTCGTTGCAAGTGTTTGGCGGGGTATGAAGGAAACGGTACCTTGACTGGTGGCTGCGCGATAAAGCGATACGTTATTCTTCTTCCTGGTGAGCTACTTAAAGAGAAAAGCTTGCTTCTTAAACGTGTCTTCCACGTTGATCATCAGCTATAGGCGCACCAGCTCTTCTCGTTTTTGGATTTTTCCTCTGGAAGTTCCGGCCGAAATTGTCCGCACTGTCAACTAGAAACTTGAAACATCTTCAGGCCAGTTTCAAAGAAAACTCAAGGATCTTTACCTGGGCAGAGATGGAGAGAGCCACCAAGTGCTTCAGAAGCGACCTCAAGCTAGGCACTGGCAGCTTTGGCACAGTCTACAAGGGTAAACTGGACGACGGCACCACGGTGGCTATCAAGAAAGCCAACAACGGCAATGCCCCTCGCATTCAACAGTTTCTGAACGAGGTTACTATCCTCTCGAAAGTGAACCACAGAAATCTCGTCAAGATGCTGGGATGTTGCATAGAAAGAGAGGTACCTCTCTTGGTCTACGAGTTCGTGCCAAGAGGAACACTGTACGAGCATCTGCACAGACGCGGAGATACATTATCCTGGAAAAACCGTTTAAGAATTGCGACGGAGACAGCGGAGGCTCTTACGTACCTTCACTTTGCAGCTTCTCCGCCGATATATCACCGGGACGTCAAATCCTCGAACATCTTGTTGGACGAAAAGCTCACGGCCAAAGTAGCGGACTTTGGGATTTCCAAGCTGGTACCCATAGATTCCACTCACATTTCCACAACTCTGCATGGAACACCGGGTTACATAGATCCACAGTACCAGCAAAGCTATCAGCTTACAGATAAGAGCGACGTTTACAGCTTTGGAGTAGTCATCTTGGAGCTAATAACAGGTCAGATGCCTGTAGACTTCTCTCGCTGTGCTTCAGATAAAAACCTGTCCACATTTGCAATGAGCGTCATACAAAGAGGAGCCATCAGCGAGTTGATCGACAAGAGGTTGGATGCTAGAACTCCAGAAATGCTGGAGTGCGTTGCAAAAGTTGCAAACTTGGCAGCTTTGTGCTTACAGTTCGACGGAAGTAGCAGGCCGACAATGAAGTTTGTTCTTGAAGAGCTTAAAAAGGCAATGCAACCCCTTATGGAGTAAGAAGTTTCTAACAAACTTTTGCAATATTCTTTGACAACTGCAAGAGAAAACTTGAGACTCCAAGAAAATAATGTCTTTGAAAGTTTTTACCTCTACTGTTTTCAACTGCCGAAATTGAATCGAAAATCACCGCCAGAAGTTACACTCTCCCAAACAGACCGCTTCTTTTGAGATTCCTGAGCTCTTTTCTCGTTCCGGAGTTGTTCCAATGACCCGGGATGAAGCTCCTCGTACCTGGATTTGAACTTGTCGTATAAGTTAACGCGATCTTTTGTTCCTGAGACCAAATCCTGGGAATTTGGCTTGTTAAGGAAATCCAGAACATTCAGGATGTTGCTCCTAGCAAAAATGACATGTTAGCCATCAGCGACGTCGCATACACCAGAAATACCTGCTAACGTAGTTCTGCGTGATGGCGATCGAGTCTTCCAGATTTATAACAATGTGCCACCAGCCGTTTGGTATGAAAACGACTTCGCCTGCTTTGCAAACGCACTCCACCGGTTTATGCTTGGCCCGCTTTGTCTCGTGATAGAAGTTCATAAACCATTCCGTGATGGACACCGGAGTTGCTACGTCCACTCCATCCGGGCTGGGATGAACACCAGGAGGAACAGCACCCGGAGGATACAGGATCCACTTCTTGGAACCTTTGACCACTGCGTTCCAAGCCGAAGTGCTGTTAGGATCAATATGAAACGAGGAGCCAGACCTTGCAGGCCCGAGTATAAGCCACCGATAGTCGGGCCTCTCCTTCCCCAGTATCGAGAAAAGGTCCTCCCTGAAGTAGACAGGAACTTCATAGTCGGCAGCCAGCTGCGGAACTTTCTCCCCGAACTTTGGATCAAACAAGTAGAGAGGTCGCTCCTCTTTCACGGACTTCGCATAGACGAAATAGTTGCTGAGCGTCATGTCAGCTGGACCAGCAGCAAAGTCTACGTCCCCACACAGATCGAGTAAATAGTCCTGGTTCCATCGTTTCAGCGCAGGCCAGTTGTTGATAGCATCGGTGAGAAGAACTGGTTTGTTCAGCCTCTCGAAATCGCGTACAAAGTCATCGACTGAAAGGTGGCTTCTGCGCTCGATGTTGTCCCTGGAAATCCACTCGTCTTTGATCTCCACACTGGCACAAAGCCAGCTCTGGAACAAGTAGTCCGAATAGAAGTCTTCCACCTAGAAGAACATTACGAGAACCTTAGAACGATGCCAAGAAAGCAGTCATTAGTAGTACCTTGACAGGAGAGAAGTCCTCTTTCTGGCAAAGAAAAGAAACACAAACTATCAAAACTTTCTTCCAGAACAAAGTCCCAAAGAACACCTTACCTTTGTACAAGCCGATCGAGAAGAGAAATCCTCTTCCTGAATGGAAAGAAACAAAAACTATCAAAACCTTCTTCCACGAACAAAGCTCTCAAAGAACACCTTACCTTTGTCCAAGCCGATCGAGCTGAGACGTAGGTCTTTCTCCAGCTCCCTTGGAACAAAAATCCTCCTTTCAGCTCCGCGAGGACCAGATTCCGCCACAGCGCTTCCTGGTGGCTGAAAACATAGAATCCCTTGCTCGAGACGCCCGACCGCGCCAGATCCTTGGCATCCAGCAGCGCCAGAATATCACTGACGATCTCATCGCTGAGACGCTGGAGACTCCCAAGCCCTGGATCACGAATATTTTGCCTGCCCGTGAAGAGGAGATTCCCCAGCGGCTGGACGGCGCAGTGCCTGGATGCGAATGCGAGCCCGAATTCCACACCAGGGCTCTCAACCCCACGATCCTCCGACTCATCGCTAGAATGCGGTGCTGCTACACGAACCTTGGCATCCTTCTTCTTCCTCGTCTTCTTCTTGCCGCCTCTCTTACGTTTGCCTTCCATGCGATAGGGCTCGCTAGGGCTGTTGATGGGAGACTAGAAGTCAATGAAGGTCAACGTAAAGTCAAACTGTGCTGACTTAGTAAAATTCACCTCCTCCTTAATTACGTGCAAAATTTCCACTACCTTTATTAGTATATAACTCAAACAAGAGGGCTAGAATCTAGATTTCCAATCATCTATGAGATCACTCCTCTATTCTACTTGGATTGTTCTTGGCTGTGGCTTGGGGATCTTTGGCACTGTGACAGTAAGCACGCCATTCTCCACTTGGGCTTTGATCGCATCCACATTGGCGCTCTCGGGCAGGCGGAATTTCCTCAAGAAGCTCCCATAGCTGCGCTCCACGCGGTGCCACTTATCGCTCTTCTGTGTCTCGTGCTTCTTCCTGTCGCCACTGATCTGGAGAGTGCGCCCATCCTCCACGCTGATCTTCACCTCCTCCTTGCTCAGCCCCGGGAGATCGGCCTTGAAGACGTGCGCTTCGGGCGTCTCAAGCCAATCGACGCGAGTGTTAGCGATGGCGCTTGCATCCCTGGCCATCTGCTTCGACGGCTCGTTGCCACCAGCTAAGATCGATGAGAGCTCCTCAAAGGGATCGAAGATGCTGCTGCCATTCCCGCGATAGAAATGCAAAGCCATGTCTAGAACTTAGAAAAGAGATGAGATCTAATAAACTTTTGATCGATGCTGGGGCCAAGAGATTGCTCCACAGAGCCATGAACATTCGAGAATATTCTAGAATGGTGATATTCCAGAAGATTCTAGAGCATTAGCACAAATCAGTTTATCCCTTTTAAATAAATCTAATAAAATAAAAGATTTGCCACAATGGTGACACTGTTCTTTCATTATTATTGGAAACATTCAAAGAAAATAACAGAAGAAAAAGTAACACTTGCTTTTATTCCCTTCCATCCCATTAACTTTACTTTGAACTGATCTAAATTAATACAAATGAAAATCACAATGAAAAAAAGAGAGAGCTATCACCGCATATTCTTGCAACTAGGTGTTGAAGAGCCCTAAAAAAGTTTGATCTTTGTTTGGCATTTCAAATGGGCAGAGCGATTGATCGCGGCAATCACGACGCGGCGGAGATCTTCATCAGCTCCTCGGCCACACTCCTCATCGCCGGCCTGTTCTCCCGATTAAACTCGAGGCATCGGATCGCTAGGTTTGCTACCTCTTGTATGCTCGAAATCTTGGCTCTCTCGTCTCCCAGCTCCAGGCCCTTGTCGATAATATCCTCGATCCGGCTGCTCTGGATGTAAGCGAGCGAGAATGCGGTGAGATTCTTGTCCGAGGAGTTCCGCGAGAAATCCACAGGCTTTTGCCCCGTGATGAGCTCCAGCAACACCACTCCAAAGCTGTAGACGTCGCTCTTGTCGGTAAGCTGATAGTTTTGCTGGTACTGTGGATCGATGTAGCCTGGAGTTCCATGCACGGTGGTGGAGACGTGCGTGGCTTCCAGGCTCACTAACTTCGATATCCCGAAGTCCGCTACCTTGGCAGTGAACTTCTCGTCCAGGAGGATGTTGGTGGACTTGACGTCGCGGTGGTAGATCGGCTGTGCCGCGGAGGAATGGAGATAGGAGATGGCCTCGGCGGTCTCGATGGCGATTTGCAAGCGTCTCTCCCAACTGAGGATCGAAGATCTCCTGTGCTGTAAGTGCTCGAAGAGAGTTCCATTCGGGACGAACTCGAAGACTAAGAGTGGGACTTCGGTTTCCAGGCAGCAGCCGAGGAGCTTGACGAGGTTGCGGTGGTTTACCTGCGAGAGGATGGTGACTTCGTTGAGGAACTGCTGGATCCGGGGGCCTGTGGTGCTGTTGGCTTTCTTGATCGCCACTGGAGTGTCGTCGTCCAGGACTCCTTGGAAGACTGTGCCAAAGCTGCCGGTTCCCAGCATGAGCTCGGCCTTGAAGTTCTGCGTTGCTCTCGAGAGCTCGTCGAAGGAGAAGAAGGTGGCGTTCTGCTTGAACTCGAGCTGGAGGTGAGCGAGGCTTCCGAGCTTTGGAAACAAGCCCTTCTTGCGGCCTAACTTTTTCGTTCTTACGATGCAGACGCAGATAGAGCCGGCTAGTATCGCAGCAGCTACGACCAGAAGAACAGGTCCACTCGTGATGTGCTGAAAGACGTCGGTTTTCCTGCAGCCACTGGTAGCGTTTCCTTTGTATCCTTGTCTACACTTGCATGTAAACGAGTTTAGGTCGTTGACGCAGATTGCTCCCTCCGAGCAGGGAGAGCTCGCACAGTGATCCACTACAGCTATACAAAACAACTTAAGAATCTTGTGCTGGTGAGGGATAAGAAAGGTATTCTAGATTTTTTTGCTTACCTGAGCAGCCCGTTCCATTCGAGAAGCCATTTCCTGATCCTGTGTTACAAATGCAGTTGAAAAACCCAGGTTGATGGGGTGCATCCAAGCACGTAGCATTCAGAGAGCACAGATGCGCAGAAGTGGAGCAGTTACCTGGCATGGCCCAAAGCAACTCAATCCCGTAAGTTACTACTTGGTAGCTCGGTGGAAAGATCACGCTAGAGTAGCCGCAGTCGCTAGTACCGTTGTTAGCACTGCTCTTGATGATAACGCTGCGTTTTCCAGACGGAATAGTCAGGATGCAGCACTCGAGTTCTTCACAGAAAGGATTCCGGATATTCGGCTCGCGACCGGGTTGGCAGCCCGTTTCACAGTGCTGTGTACTCTCCGCATCTGCTGTGTAAGAACCCTCTACAGAACAACCTCTTGCGAAGAACTCATTGTTTGCTGACAGAGTGTATGGAGCAGTGGAGCCGACATCAAAGAACGCCTCAGCTCCGGTGCACGAGTTGCTCTTGAGCCTGGAAGTTTCGACGATCAAAGTCGTTGCTGTCGCCTCGAGGATCTCGAACTGGCCAGCGACGGTCTGGAGGAGAGGCTTGCCTGCGCTGCTGCAGTTGAGCTCAAACTCCGGAGGCCCGCATCCGCGATCGAAGCCAAACGGATAGTCGGCAGTGAAGCTCCCGCACTTCCTGGAACACAAATCCTGCGCAGCAGCGTGAAAGAGAAAGAGGTACACCGCTGTGAGCGCTGCATCCATGCTCTGAGCTCACAGTGCGTGTTCGTCTCTCCAGATCTTTATCGTTTACAAAACAAAACAAGGGTGGTCGGCTTGCTCGATGCTTCGTTCTATTCTATTGTCCCTTGGAGCATCGGCCACGTATAGCGAACAGTGCTCCAATGGCCGTTAGGGCACTTGTCACTCCTGGGCTCGTCCGAGCCGTCGCGCTTTCTAGCGGGAGGGGGCATCTCGGCCTCTCCGCTGATCGCCCAAAAAGAAGAAGAAGCTGTTCTTCGTCGTGTGTGAGAATTATTGCTATGGCGTCTCCGAAAAAGGTACTGTTTCTTGTGTGTGTGTGTGTGTTCTTTGCATTATCTATGTTCGCTTTGTCTCAGGTGCTTGTGCCGGTTGCGGATGGGACGGAGGAAATGGAGGCCGTGATTGTCATCGACGTTCTCCGGCGAGCTGGAGCTCATGTCACTGTGGCCTCTGTCGGACAGGAACCCAAAGTTACGGCGTCGAGAGGCGTGAAGCTGGTTGCGGACGCGATCGTATCGGAATGCGGGGACGAAAAGTACGATCTTGTTGTTCTTCCTGTACGTTGAACGTTGTTTTCGTTGCTCCTCGTTCCCAAAAGCTGATTTTTTTTTGGTTGGTTTCAGGGTGGGATGCCTGGAGCTGAACACTTGCGTGATTCTAAAGCTCTCGAGGACATAACTCGAGGTCAAGCTCAGGAACAACGAGCTTATGCTGCCATCTGTGCGGCGCCGGCTGTGGCGCTCGAATCGTGGGGCCTTCTCAATGGCTTGAAGGTAACGAGTCTATCTAGCGAGAGCTTTTACCAGTTTTACGAGTTTTTCTAACGTTTCTCTGCTCAGGCAACATGCTACCCAAGTTTCGTGAGCAAGCTCTCGGATCCATCCTCGGCAGAGTCCAGAGTTGTGAAAGATGGGCTCGTTGTCACAAGCCGAGGTCCAGGTACTGCAATGGAGTTTGCTCTCACTTTAGTTGAACAGCTATATGGCAAGGAAAAAACACAGGAAGTTTCAAAGGGATTGGTGGGTGGAGGCTGTCTCGCACGTTTTTTTTCTGAGCTTCCAAAGTTTTGTTTTGGTCAGATTTTGCTCGAGGGAAAGCCGACGAAATTAGAGTTCAATCAAACAGCTTGGGCAGCTAAAGTACCGTCAAAGCCTCAGGTACTTTTCTCGTGATCCTCATCGACGGTTTCTTTGATCCGTTCTTCAGGTTCTTGTGCCGATAGCAAACGGCTCTGAAGAGATGGAAGCCGTGATAATCATCGACGTTCTAAGACGTGCTGGCATGGGCGTTGTGGTGGCCTCGGTGGAGGAGACGTTACAGATTGTTGCATCGAGAAAAGTGAAGATCGAGGCGGATAATCTCATCGGCGAAGTTTCATCCGCTCACTTTGACGCGATCTTCTTGCCAGTAAGCATCTTTGGTTTGCCTGACCGTATGAGAAAACTTTGATTCTCTTCTCCAGGGTGGAATGCCTGGGGCAGAGCACTTGAGGGACAGCAAAGAGCTCCAATCCATACTCGCGAGACAGGCCAAAGACAGCCGAGTTTACGGAGCCATCTGTGCCTCTCCAGCAGTCGTTTTGGAAGCAAACAAGATACTCGCTGTGAGTTTCTCGCAAAACTCTTGACTTTGCTTTTGTGTTGTTCCTTGAGCTGGTTTCCTGGCAGGGAAAGAAAGCCACGGCGTTTCCAGCGTTCCAGAGCAAGCTCTCGGACCAGAGCGCGGTGGAAGCGAGAGTGGTGATCGATGGATTGGTTGCGACGAGCCAGGGGCCGGGCACGGCCATGGAGTTTGCGCTCGCCATAGTGGATAAATTCTCCGGCAAAGACAGCGCTGTCAAGACCGCCGAGGCAATGCTTTTTAGTTACTAGAAGAACAAAGGTGGTGATAACTAGAAAAGAATAATTATAACTATTATATATAATTACAAAGAAAAGTTTAATTAATATAAATTTATGTATTGCACTAAGCATATATTTTATTCCCTTATAATTCTTTCCCACATTTATAACTATAATGATTAATACTAAGCACTCAAATTTTAATTAATGAAGCACAAAACAGAAAATACTCCCAGACTATATTATTCAAAATATACTTTATTCCCTTATAATTCTTATAGCTATACTACAACCTTAGATTGCGAGATTTATTAAAGTCAAGCATGGGCAGCTCCGCTGGGTCACATACTACTTCCAAAAATCACATGAATCAACCGGCTGGCATGACAAACAACAAAAAGAAGACGAAACCTCGTGAAACAAGAACGATGGCCGCCAAGAATTATCTCGTGTTGCTGGTGCTGCTTCTCACGGATCTCGTTCGATCCAGCGATTCTTTTGAGCGTCACCGGCTGCTGGAGAATGGGCTGGGAAGAACACCGCCAATGGGGTCTCTCTTCTTTCTCTCGAGTTCCTGGTTTTTTCTTGCTGCTGAGGTAGAGTTTTGCCAGATGGAATAGCTGGAATTACTTCCACTGTGGAATCAACGAGGAGATCATTCGAGCAACCGGTAGCAAAGAACTTTACCTCGTAGGATTGATAGTATCAGTTTGATCGATCTTCTTCTTCTTTTTTTCTATACAGCTGATGCGATTGTGTCTACTGGCCTCAGAGATGTTGGCTACGAGTATGTAAACATTGGTAAGGTCCTGCAAAGAGCCACGAACGAGTTAACAAAATTGATATCTAGATGATTGCTGGGCGGAGCTTTCACGAGACAATGAGGTAAAAATCTCTACAGCTAAAACTCTCGCTAGTAACTTTGCTTCTCAATGCAGGGAAACCTTCAAGCACGGAACTCCACATTCCCGTCAGGAATCAAAGCCTTGGCTGACTACGTGCATTCTAAGAACCTCAAGTTTGGGATTTACTCGGACGCTGGGTAAGACTTTGGAAAGTAAAAAACGAGCTTACCAGATTATATCAACTTGATTCTTTAGATACTTGACGTGCCAGGAACAGCCAGGATCTTTGAATCACGAAGATCAAGACGCCAAAACTTTTGCTGCATGGGTACGTAGATCCTGCGTGACAAAACGTTGCGTTAGTTTTGTGCTGCGCAGGGAGTGGATTACTTGAAGTATGACAATTGTCACACCGATGGAAGCTCACCGAGAATCCGGTAATAAAAAATCGCTCGGCTAGAATGAATCCTTACGTTTCTTTGATGGACAGATACCCCATAATGCGCGACGCTCTTAGTGCGGCAGGCCGGCCGATTTTCTTCTCAATGTGTGAATGGTAAGAAACTGCGAAGAGAAAAAAAAAATGTAAGCGAGAGACGGCTGAGTTCTTCCATTTTTTTTGTTGACAGGGGTCAGGAAGATCCAGCAACATGGGCATCGAGCGTCGGAAATAGCTGGAGAACAACCGGGGATATACAGAACAAATGGGAATCGTAAGGCCAAAAGAAGGATTTTACACTCAAAAGAACGATCACTCCGCCAAACAAACAATGCAGGATGATTTCTATCGCGGACAAGAACAATGCGTGGGCCGAGCACGCCGCTCCGGGCGGATGGAATGGTACACGATAATCCATGAATGCCTTGATTTCTTACCTCGATTGGAGCGCCTAATCCTCGATCGACCAGATCCGGACATGCTGGAGATCGGCAATGGCGGCATGAGCTTCCAGGAATCGCGCACGCACTTCAGCTTGTGGGCGCTCATGAAAGTAAGGGCAAATGGAAAAAAGAGAGGGAAAGGAAGAATCTGACCTAAACGAACAGGCACCGTTGATTATTGGTTGCGACGTACGGAACATTGCGGCCCAGGACCTGGCCATTCTCATGAACAAAGAGGTGATCCAAATCAACCAAGGTGAGGCCCAAATCCCTCTCTCTTGCCCGTACATTTTCTCTCTATGTCTTTGTATAGATGCGCTAGGGGTTCAAGGAAGAAAGGTGGCGGGAGATGGAGAACAAGAGGTAAATTTGAGTGGATGTGATTGAGGAGAAGAAAATGCACAAGTTTTGATCCAGGTGTGGGGAGGCCCGCTCTCAAACGGGAGATTTGCGCTCTTGATGCTCAATCGAGGCAGTGATCCAGCTGATATCACAGCCGAATTTGCTGCGCTTGGCATTCCTAGTAACGTTTCAGTGATGATCCGCGATGTTTGGAAGGTACGTAACATCGATTTTTATATTAACTTTGGAGGATTTCTAATAGTGGTGTGAATTTCTTAGCGTCAAGAGCTTCCAGGCACGGGCACGTATAATTCCAGTATTACATCCAGAGTTGAATCGCACGATGTAGCCATGTACATACTTACTCCTGTGTAGTCACTAACTATATTTTCACGAAGATTATTTGGAACAATTATTAAATTTTAACCATGCCGTGCATGGCAACCTTTTAGTAACATATAAACTGTCAAGAGATTTCAAAGCTAAGAAAGAATTATTTCATTCTTGGAAGTTGGCATGACGTTCATTCGGTCCCTTTCTCCACCAAAGACTAGATGTGGACTGAAAGAATAGAATTTAGCCAGTGCTTTCCAGCGGGTGTTTCATTTGTTCTCATCCTTCTTCCAGGAATCCTTTCCTCTCTTGCGTTTGGCTTGCTTTCGTGCTTCTCTTCGAAAGTGCAATGCTTATAAGATTTCCAGCTCTGCTAAGTTTGCTCCTCCAATTTGGATTCTCGTTTGGATTGACCCCATTCCCAGACGCGGCATTTACGAAGGCTATAAACTACACTCAGGAGAAAGCTGGAGATGCTGTAGGCATCACTCTTCTTCAAGACGCCAGGCAATCTGGAGCAGGTCTCTCTCTTGCGCTTTTCCTTTCTCGATCAAACAAAGTTCCATGAATTCTCTTGCAGTTTGCTTGGATGGGAGCGCCCCAGCATATCATTTGAGGCCTGGTTTTGGCTCTGGAGCGAAGAACTGGCATATACGTTTGGAAGTGAGTCAATCTTGTGTATTTAATACTGTATAGTTGAAATTGGAGGAATGTGAATGACAGGGTGGAGGCTGGTGTGAAAGCTCATCCGCTTGTGCCACTCGAGCCAAGACAAGTCATGGAAGCTCGAAACTCATGTCCAATCAAATATTATTTAATGGTATTCTTAGCAACAAGTATTCTGCCAATCCAGGTATGTTAGTGATATTAATTTATGAATCACCTAATTATTATTATGTTGTTTGCTGTAAAAGATTTCTACAACTGGAACCATGTATATGTGCGTTATTGTGATGGAGGATCTTTCAGTGCAGATGTTGCTGTTCCAGTAAGGCACTGGTCTGGACAAGTTAAGATAATTATTTTTCTTAAGCTGGTGTTCATATACTTTTTTAGTTTCTCTTCAGGCTCTATATTTTCGAGGACTCAGAATTTTTAGAGCTGTTGTGAAGCACCTGCAAACCAAGGGACTGAGCACTGCTAAACAGGTTGCTAATTGATAATTTAGCTGATTTCTATGTTGGTTAATAGGCACTTTTAAGTGGGTGTTCTGCTGGAGGACTTGGAGTTGTTCATCGTTGTAACGAGTTCAAATATCTTCTACCTAATGCCAACGTTAAATGTTTGAGTGATGCTGGTTACTTTGTGAATGGGTAATTTCCTCTTTAAATTTGTATTTTAACTCACCCACCTGAGTTGTCAGCCAAAGCATCAGAGGAAACTTTGCCATGTACAACTATTACAAAGGAGTGGTGAATTTACAGGTTTTTCAGGAATTTCTTAATAATCTTGTTTTATTTTCTTAATATGCCATAAAACAGAAATTGCAAAACACTCTGGCTAGAGCTTGTACCTCGGCAAAAGATCCAGTGCAGGTTTTAATTTATAATTTTTTTCTTAATCTGAGTGTTAGTATTTTCCTTCCTAGTGTTTCTTTCCACAACAAGCACAGGGCTACATAAGACAGCCCACGTTTTTTGTTAATGCAGCATATGATAATTGGCAGGTAATTCTCCTTTTAATTTCAAACTTATTATTCAACAAATTTCTACAGCTTGAAAATGTAAAAGAGATTTCCTGGAGGCAATACAGCCCTTGCATGAAATCTTCTTTTTGTTTCCATGCAAAAACTTTGCAAGGTAGGAAGCTCTATAATTATTTCATGAACTCATTTTTATTACAACATATCTTGAACTTTCAAGCATTCCGACAAAATCTGCTGAATGGTCTCTTCTATGCTCAATCTAGAGCAGGCTGGGGAACCTTTATCGATTCTTGCTTTAGCCATTGTCAACTTGAGGTAGACATCAAATGGACAAGACCAAGAATACATGGAAAGGTTTATAAATTTTTTTCCAGATAAAATCTAAATTATGTGATTAATATTTTTTTCTTTGCTCTACAGTCATTAGCAAAAGCTGTAGGAGATTGGTATTTTGGAAGATCTCAGTCAACTCACTATATAGATTGTGGATTTCCAACTTGCAATCCTACTTGCGTTAAATACCCTCTAATGTCAACGTCCACATAGATTTTGAGTGTGGAACATTTATTGTAATCTCCCACATAGTTTTCGAGTGGAATTTTTTGGCTAAAGTCACAATACAAATTGCTTAGTGATGGAACATTCATTAGTGTAAGTTTTGGAGGGAAAAGAACATTTGAATAAATCCCGGAAGTTCCACGTGGGCTCCACGCCAGCAAGCACCTTGATCAACCTTGAGCAAGCAAGTTTGATCATTCCTGCTTGCTTTTACCGTCCCCCTCCTCTTCTTCATCTTTCTTTGCAGCCTGCTCCCGAAGAGCCTCAATCACTTTCTCTAGAGCCCCTCTCGAGTTCCTCCTGTTCTGGATCAACACCTCCGCGATATCAGCAGGAGTGATCTCAACCTTGGCGATCAGCTCCGCGATCTCTCCAAACTCCTTCTCAAACTCGCCCTTCTGCGAGATCTCAAGGTGAGTCCACGCCAGCACCTTGAACGCCTCAAATCCACAGTAGCCCATCAAAATGTGAAGGTCCATCCTGCCCGACCGCAGCAGTGCGGGATCCAGATCTTCCTTGTGATTTGTCGTAAAGATGATGATCCTCTCGCTCCCGCTACAAGACCACAGCCCATCGATGAAATTCAGTAGCCCTGAAAGTGTGACCCTGCTGCTCTCTTCATCTTTCTTCTTGGCTTGTTTCCCTGGCAACGCTCCATCTTTCTCCTTGGACTCTTCACTGGTTTCTTCCTCTGGGGCTGGCTTTCCCCTTTTCTTGAGCTCCAGCGAGCAGTCAATGTCCTCGATCACGATGATCGCCTTGTTGGAAATCCCCATGAGCAGCTTCCTCAAGTCGGCATTGCTCTTCACCTCCGTTAGCTCCATGTCATAGACATCGTACTGCGTGTAGTTTGCTATGGCAGCGATGAGTGACGACTTCCCAGTCCCCGGAGGCCCGTATAAGAGATACCCCCGCTTCCAAGCCCTCCCAACTCTCTCAAAGAAATCCTTACCAGCCATGAAGGAATCCAGGTCCTGGACGATCTTGTTCTTGAGCTCGGGATCCAGCGCCAGGCTCGAGAACGTCGAGGCATGCTTGAAAGGCACCGATCTCCACGGCTTGTTCCTGTAGTCGTCCGATTTTCCTATGTTGGTGTAGAGCTGCCGGTCTTGGTTCTGGTGCTTCAAGCTCTCTCCGAGCTTGATCACTTCCCTCATGTACTCGGGCAAGAGTGTATACTTGTGCCTCCTGTGAACTTGGACAACGTACTCTCGGCGTGTTCCTCCACTGCGATCAAAATAGCTGAAGCCTCTGCCGTTGGAGGGCTCGGTGACGTTGAAGACCCAGGAGAATGTGACGCCTTTGAACTTGTCCTCCACTCGCTCGCCCCTGGCGAGGTTGCAATTCGGCTTGCTGGCGTTCTTCACTCGCGTGAACTGGATCCTGTTTGCCGAGCTCTTGGTGTTGGTGTCGGTGAGGTGAGCAACGTAGAGGTCGACCAGGTCGTAGATCTCGTTGGTGTTGTTGCGGACGTACTCTGGGATTGAGAGCTCTGTCTCCCACCATAGCCAAGTTACAAACCTCTTGAGCTTGAGCTCCAGAAGGAACCAGACGTGGCGCGGAACTATCTGGTTGAGGATCATGATGAAGCCCATGAGCGAACCGAGATGGGAGAAATACCCACCTGCCATTGCCATCTTGCTCGTTTGCTGCTGCTGTTGCGAGAATGGGAGAACACTGACCTTGCTGCGTCACTCTTATTGTCGTGTAGATGAAGCCACAACGAAGCCAGCTCCCGCGTATTTTCTTGTAGAGAAATCTTCGTCAATCTCGTGAGTCATGCTCACGATGCGGCAGTCAGCGATAACTTTAACAATGGAATAAACTTCTACATGTCACCTGTCCTTTCCAAGATGCTGAGGTTGCACACTAAATGAACAGCCTGAGTGATGGTCGCAGGGAAGTTCCCGAGCTCGTTCCAAAGTGAAAAGATTCCAGGGGAAAAAAAAAGTGTTTTGGTCTGCTTGACTTTCATTGTTTAGTTCTTGTTATATGAGAAGAGGTCGCAAGCTTAAGCTTGGTCGCTCAAGCCTCTCAAGCTCTTTTCAACTACAAGCGAGAGGAGTTCATCGATATTCAGGTATGTTAGCAAACACATCAGTAGATGCGCAACAGCGTTCTCAATAGAAAGTCAATAGAAAGTTAAGAAAAAACCCCCAATCTTCTAGTGCGTGGTGAATCGTCCAAGACTTCCCGAGTTAGTGCGAAGATGATGGTTTCGAGCTGTTCCATCGTCAGATTGCAGAGAATAATCACAATCTACAACTGGCGGTTGTTGTTGCGATTTCTGTATAGTGTTTTTCTCTCTTGGAATCAAATTGGTGATCAAAATGCTCGCACTAAACATGTTGAGGACACTAGTCGTGCTCCATGCCGGCTTAGATGAGCTTGCACCACAACATACTGTCTATATGTTGTTTTTAGTTCAAATTCAAAGTGCCGTTGCAACAACTAGGTTGAAGCTGATGAACCAAGTACGTAGATTCTGGTTCGGACTGCTGTGTCCGGCCCGGTGCTTTCCCGGAGAGGGCTGCTTCCCGTGGTCGTCCTAGGCTCTCCTCGGCCGGGGATGCTGATTTAAGCAAGATTTCCAAGATTGATCACGAGCTCGAACTGGCTGCAGTGGCACTTGAGGTACAATGTCTGTTCTTTCTCAAATTATTCTTTGAGTAAATATGCTCTCAAACATCAGGATGGCTTCTTGAATGATGAATAAAGCATATGGTGAATATATGATATAGTGTAGAAAAGTAGTAAAAAGTCCCAAGCCACCTGGGAGAGAATTTTGCAAAAGGTGCAAAATCCTAGCATCACAAACTGTCCAGTGGGAAAAGGTCATCCCATCAGAATTGATCACCCTGTCCCTTGTACTTGCACATGATTGGTTGCTACACAGTGTTGCTCATTGAGTTTGGGAAGATCCCATGCCCGAGCTTAAAGCTGGACTTAGCTTAGCTATTCAACTGGGGTGGTAACTACTACTCTTCATGCACCTCTAAGAGCTGGAGGAGCCATTGTGTGACTTGCCCAAGGAAAGTGTAACCATGATTTGAAATGAGGATTGTAGGGACTCTGAAATGGTATATAATGTATTTGTAAATGAAATGTGCCATGAAAATCTAGTCAGCATGCTGAAAGATGGTCTAGTATTTATAAGTTAAAGGACTTGTAGAAGATTTGCAAAGAATTGAGGAATCTCATCAACATAAAAGCAACTTGGGTAGGGTATAAGCTTTCTTTTGAGTTGAACCAACAGACTTCACAATGTAATACAAAATAAGCATTACATTTAGAAATGATGGAGAAGCAAATGCATGTTAGCATTTTGTGGCTAATGTGTATAAATCAATGCAATTATAGTAATTATATAGTAAGGTGTTGTTATTCGTTGTTGTTTTTTTTTGTTACTACTTATCTCAAAATGTAGGCCAGGCATTTAAATACCAGGAGCTAGCAGAAGAAATGGACCTTGTCAAGCAGCTGGATGGCAAGAAGCAGGCGTTCAAAGAGGTTCCAGGAGGCCTTGGCTCTCCTTCGGCTGGCCTCAAAGCCATTCATGGCAATTGACTTTTCTGGAGAAGACAACTATTCTGACGATCCGGAGGTTTGGAGACCGACTGCTAGAGACGTTCAAGAACAATATGGAAGCCGGAGCCCGACCAAGGCAGGGCAAATGGTGGCATGAAAGTTCATGCAAGAGGGAGACAATCGATCTTCTTCGTGGGTTCGGAAGGGTGGAGTGGAGACAACAGCAAGCTGCTGGCTCTTGGGCAGTCAGCAGCTCGTGGATGTTTCGATCGCCCAAGAGCCAGCAGCTCGTGGATGCTTCGATGGTGATCCTCCCATCCTTACGGGAGAGCTGCGCCAACACCGAGGTGGCTCTGGAGATCAAGAACTTCTTTCTCGGTGTGGACGACAACGATGTAATCATCAACACCAAGGTTCTAGGATACCGCATCAAACTCCATATTAATCCACAGCTTGGCGAGATGAAAAACTCTGCCATTACTATCTATGACTACAACGGCAGCCGTGTTAATGCCAATTCTAGCACTCTCACCAAGAACATCGAAGGTGAGATTGGAGCTCGATTTAATTCATGGGCAGTATCGTTCACATTCAAGAAGAAGTGGGGGCAGTCACGCCAAGAGCCAATAGGGTACGAGTCGATCCATGTTGAACCTTCAGGGAACATTGCAAAGGTCGAGTGGAAATTACTTCACTGGAATCACAACGGCATGAAGTATAATCCATCCAAACCATACTCCGGGTCAATTTCCCTCAAGGTTGATTCTTTTCAAATTCGTTTTCTTTCTAGCCGCCTTTTCGAGGAGGACGAACAAAAATCAGCGTGGAAGACTTTCCTGTTATTGTGTGGCATCTGCCTGCGAGCATGGCGTCCAAGTTTCAGCTCGGGTTTAACATTCGTCTGGAGGCCGACATGCATCTCCTATGGTACCCGAAAAGCAACGGGATGCACCGAAGAGCCAAGAAGTACATCAGCAAGAGAGTCGAATTTTCTCGTGAGTTTGTGGTCACCAAGGGTGAGTAGTAGTCTGGACACTGTCATATACTTGTGATATCGAATTTTTATAAAAGAACGCAGACCTTTCTTTTTCCCTTTGTCTTTGGATTCGCATTTAGGGCTTTTGGCAAACTCAAATATTTGGCGCGAAAAGTTTTGGTCCCTGGCTAGATCCTAGGGCCATGGCAGAGGGAGGCGCGGTCCAGTCGCTTCCTCCGCACAGGCGCGCGCAGGTCTTGCTCCAGGACATGGCGGGCCTTACAGTGCGCCTTCTCGAGCTAGCCGGTAAGCAAGCGTCTTGCTTCTCTTTCCTCTCCAGATCGAGACTTGGTCGATGCAGGCAGCAAATCGTGGCAAGGCAGCCATCTCAAGAGCCTCTTCCCCCCTTTCCTGGCCGGAGCTCCCGTGCCCGCCGAGGGCCTGGTCGCCAATAGCACCAAAGACGTCCTGGCGCTCCTCGACTCGCATCAATCGCTTCTATCGGACGCGGTATCCGAGATTGCCGAGCTCCAGAGCCTGGAGCAGGAGAAGCAGCGCATCGCGGAGGCGGTGGCGGCCAAGGACGCGGTGATCCGGGAGTTTGCCAAGCGCGTCAGGGACGCGGAGCAGGTCCTGGAGCTCACGCTGGAGGAATTCGAGGAGTACAGGCGGCCATCCAAGGAGAGGAAGACAATGGACGCCGAGGTGGACGTGTCCGAGCTCGTCTCCTACGCTCATAGGATCAGCTACACGACGTTTGCTCCTCCGGATTATCTTCTCGGTCAGCCCGGAGTGCTGGCTCCGGCTCCTCAGGAGCAGCAAATGCGAGCTTCGCAGCTCTACCACTTCAGCGACATGGATCTCGGCGTCTTGAAAGCTCCGGCAACCGCACCGCCACCAGCGCCATCGCTGCCGTCGCCAACGGTGGAAAAATCACCACCGAAAGAAGCAGCAGCAGGAAAGCTCACGCCCTCTACTTCCACTCCGGTTACTCTTCCCGGACTGCCTCCCGGAATCAAGCTCCCACCGATGCCTCCCGGATGGAAGCCCGGAGATCCGGTTCCACTGCCGGAAGTGGCACCGCCAGCTCCAGGTCCAGCGGCACCGGCTCCAGGAGTAATCCAGGTGCCGTTCGTGCAGCTGGATCTAAATCCGGAGCTCGAGGACGACTACGCCTCGGACTACAGCAACGAGGAGCAAAGTTCCGAGGAAGAGTGAGGAACCAAGTAAGTTGGCATTCTTTCTAAGTTCCTTGAGACTTACTTCGTGGCAAGCAGGATGAAAAAACTCGATTTTGCAAGTTAAATCTTCAAGTTCCCTTGAAGGGGAACAAATGCCCGATTCAAGTCCAACAGTCTTTTCCACTTACACCAGGTCTTGTGTAGCCGACTTCTTGTAGACGGACAGGTTCGCAATTTACCTAGAATCCAACTTTGGATTGAGTGAGAGAGCATACAGGCCGCATTCGGGAGTAAGGTGTTGATACCACTGGCTTGATCTTACTTGCTACTCGGACTGGGAGTCGTAATCTTAGGAACGTTTAAGCCTTTCTTCTCACTCAACTTTCACGCATTCCAGGTAATGTTGGTTCTTTCGTTTCTTAGAGAGTTCTTACTGTGTGTTTTCCGATACAGAGATCGTCCGAGAAGGCCTGCCTCAACGACGTTACTGGTGTTGGCACTTGGAGGCAAATCGCCTATGCTGTGACGCTGGTGTTGGTCGTTTTGACGCTCTTGCCGTTGTGGGATGGCTTGGCCACCCAGCTTGGCATTGGCATTGAAACCCGGACTCGCTCGATCTATTTATGTGAAAGCTTCCAGGAGAAACGATGAGCTGCTTGAACAGCTCGTGCCCCTGGAAGATCTTCCCGGCCTTGCACAGCGCCTCCACCAAGATCTCGTAAGAGTTCACGTCGGGGGCTCTCGATCATCTCCTGGAACAAGTCCCAGCCGTCCCTCGCGGCACAAGCTCTCCAAAAGAATATTGTAAGTGGAGACGCTTGGGAGGAGCTCCTGCTGCTGCGAGGATTTCATCTCCTCGTACAACCTCCACCATCTTCATCTTGCACAGCATCTCGATCGCGCACGAGAGATCCACGGACGTTTAGCCAGCCGCTCGCATCTCCTTCACCAGCTCCAGCGCCTCGCCAGCGTTTTTCCTCCGGCAGAGCTCCCTATCGTCTTGAGTAGCCGGACGCCATCTTCCACCACAATCGTCTTGACGAGCTGGTTCAAGATCCGCCGATGGCAGCGGCAAGTCCACGA